ATGAACCTCACAGTGGGATCTCTAGTTCAAAGAATATAGGCCTTTTAGTCACCTTTTCTCTACAATTCCAAATTGTTTTACAAAGTGGTTGGATCAATTCAGAGCTCCACCAACAAATGTGTCTGTTTCCCCACAGTCTCCTACCCTGTAACATTGATTCTTTTCATCTTTTGTTATCTTTGCCAATTTGCTTAGTGTGAGATAAAATCTCAGAGTTATTTCAATTTGTCTTTCTTATTAACTTTAAGTAATTTTTCATGTGGTTAATAATTTACAATTCTTCACACAAATCATCAGCATTTCTATATATTACTAGCAAAGCCCAACATCAAGAGGTAGAAGGAGAAATTCTGTTACTGTAGACATTATAAAATATTTGGGATTCCACCTTCCAAAACAAACTCAGGAACTATATGTACAAAATTACAAAACACTTTTCACACAAATAAAGTCAGATCTAAATAATTGGAAAAACATCAGTTGCTCATGGGTAGGCTGAGCTAATATAATAAAAATGACAATTCTACCTAAATTAATTTACTTATTCAGTGCTACACCAAACTACCAAAAAATTATTTTGTAGAGCTGGAAAAAATAATAACAAAAATCATCTGGAAGAACAAAAGGTCCAGAATATCAAGAACATTAATAAAAAGAAATGCAAGGGAAGGTGCTCTAGCCATACAGATTTTAAATTGTATTATAAAGCAGCAATCATCAAAACTACTTGGTACCAGCTAAGAAATAGAGTGGTAGATCAGTGGAACAGGTTAGGTATACAAGACATGGTAGTCAATTACTATAGTAACCTACTGTTTGATAAACCCCAAAACTCCAGCTTTTAGGATAAGAACTCACTATCTGACAAAAAGTGCTGGGAAAACTGGAAAACAGTAGAACAGAAACTAAGCATAGACCAACATCTTACACTGTATACCAAGATAAGATCAAAATGCGTACACGATTTAGACATAAAGGATGAAATTATAAGCAAATTAGGAGAGCAAGGAACAGTTTACTTGTCAGATCTAGGTCTGTATGCCAAAGAGATCATACAAATGGGAAAAGGACCCACATGTACAAAAATATTTATAGCAGCTCTTTTTGTGGTGGCAAAGAATCGGAAATTGAGGGGATGCTCATTAATTGGGGAAAGACTGAACATTGTGGTATATGAATGTAATGGAATACTATTGTGCTATAAGAAATGATGAGCAGGCAGACTTCAGAAAAACCTGGAAAGACTTAGATGAACTTGATGCTGAGTGAAGTGAGCAGAACCAGGAGGGCATTGTACACAGTAACAGCCACATTGTGTGATGACTAACTTTGATAGACTTATCTCTTCGTAGCAATGCAAGGATCTAAGACAACTCCAAAAGACTCATGGTGGAAAATGCTATCCACATTCAGAAAAAGAACTATGAAGTCTGAATGCAGATTGAAGCATATTATTTGCGCACGCTCTCTCTGTCTTATTTCTTCTTTCGCATGGTTTCTCCCATTGGTTCTAATGATTCTTTACAACATGACTAATGTGAAAATAGTTTAATGTGAATGTACATGTTAAGCCTATATCAATTTATACGATGTCTTGGGGTGGGGTGAGGGGAGAGATGGGGAGAAAATTTGGAACTCAAAATCTTGTGGAAGTGAATGTTGTAAAACGAAAAATAAATAAATAAATTTATTATAAAAAATAATTTACAATTCTTTTGAGAACTGTTTGTCCAAACTTTGCCCACTTATTTACTGGGAAATGACTCTATTATCTTATATATTTGTATTAATTCTCTAGATACTTAGATATAACACCATTATCTGAGATAATTTATGCAAAGATTTTAATCATCAGTTTCCCTTCTAATCCTAGGTGCATTGATTTTGTTCATGAAATAGGTTTTTTAAATTTCATGTAATCAGAATTGTCTGTTTTATCTTTTGTAATATATTTGACCTTTTGTTTGGTTAAAAATTCTCCCCCAAGTCATAGCTATGAGAGGTACCTCCCTCTACTTTCCTCTAATTTTTAAATGATGTGCCCTTTCATATTTGCCATATCCTTTTGTAATTGTGGCATAGGGTATAAGATGTGGGTCTAAATGTAATTTCTGCCAACTGGTTTTTAAGTTTTCCCAGAAATTCTTATTAAAAAGAGAATTATTTCACAAGTAATTTATATTCTTTGGTTTAGAAACACAAGGCTATTGAGTTTCACTGTTTGATTCTTATTTATCTAGTCTGTTTCATTGATCTACTTCTCAATTCTAGTACCAAATTGATCATTATTATTTAATAATATAGTTATGGGCCAGGGAGTGCTATTTCTTCTTTAATCCTACTTCTTTACATCATTTCCATTGATATTCTAATTTAGACCATTTAGTCTTACAAATACATTTCATTATTTTATCTAGCTCTAAAAATAACTCTTTGATAATTTGATGCGTATAACATCAAAGCTATAAATTGATTTAGGGAGTATCACAACTTTTATTATATAATATAGTCATAAGTATCGTATAATCATGAACAATGACTAACTTTCCAACAGTGAGCCACAAGAGACATTATCAGACTTACGGTTTGGAACAATCACCTTGGCAGCTTGATGGAAGATAGACTGGAGTGGATAGAGCCTTGATGTAGAGACATCAGTTAAAAGGCTTATTTGGTAATATATTGAATTTGTGGGATGTGTATTAGAGAGTAAGGATTTCAGGAAGGTACTGAGGTTATGGGGCTGGGTGTTACTGGGAGAAAGTGTGGCACATTCTACAGCAATAGGAGGTTTGGAAGGGAGGAAGGTTTGGAGGGGAAGATAATGAATTCTGTTTTGGACATGCTAAATGTGAGATAATTGGCGAAGATTGATCATAGCTCAGTAGAAAGTCTATGGTTGTGTTTGTTCACTATCCACAATTGTTGTGTAACAAGCATTTGGTGGGAGTAAGCTAAACTTGCTGAGAGTAAGCCCTTTTAGAGCAATCGGGGAAGTGGCTTTTATTCTGAACCCCTAAAAGAGCATTATACCCATAGACTGCAAATATTTGATGTGTAATAGATGGATATAATTCCAGCTCAATACTCTTCTTGGAGATAAGAGAGCGGAGGAGTCAATGCCCAGTCAAAGCCCTCCTCCTGCTTTGCCCAAAGGTGGAAAAGGCAGTCATTCTTGGAGATGGTAAAATTGGGTGTTCTAGATCTTATTTATCTACATACATCCCTTCGACAGGCTGACCCCCTGCTCAAGGATTTACCTCCCTTAAATCGTGACTACTACAATATGAGCTGGCCACGAAATGAAATGAAGTTTCATGTTGTTTTTGGGTGCAGAATGGAAGCAACGCTATCAACTCCTTTATTGCCTCTCCAAGAAGACTCTTAATGATTTTCTGATTTAGTTGCAACTTCCTTCTGGTTTATAGCAAGAATGTCATGATTAATATGATTTGGTTTAGGGCATCTAGGTGGCCCAGTAGATAGAGCACTGGCCTTGGAATCAGAAAGACTTTTTTGAACATGGCATCGGATACTTACTAGCTTCGTGACCCTGGGCAAGTCACATAACTATTTGCCTCAGTTTCCTCATCTGTAAAATGAACTGGGGAAGGAAATGACAAACCACTCCAGTATCTCTGCCAAGAAAACCCCAAATGGGGACAACAACATTAGTATGTGCACTGATTGGCTATTGAGCAAGGATATTACATTTAGAATACAAGCAACTAAGTTAATGTTGATGGGTGGCCTAAATTGTGCCTCTTAACACTCTTTGACCAGTGCACAGAATGCTGGACTTGGACTTAAGAAGACCTGAGTTTGAATCTTACCTGGGCAAGTCACTTAACTTTTTTATGCCTCAGTTTCCTTATATGTTAAAAAGGGATAATAATAGCACCTATCTGCTAAGGTTGTGAGGACAACATGTAGACATGTAAAATGTTTTGCAAACCTTAAAGCATTATGTCAGTGCTGGCTATTTCTAACATTCTCCTTTCATCATTGAAGAAGCATAAGATTGAACACCATTTTGTTTTATGTCCTCTGAGACTGTTTTTTTCTTTCTCTCCCTTTCTTTCTTTCTTTCTTTCTTTCTTTTTCTTTCTTTCTTTCTTAGGGGGTCTATAACTTTCCAAATAACACCTAATGCTACTCGGGCCTCATAGGGTGAAGTTAGGTCAGGGTGATCTCAACCTCCAGGTTGACTGAATGGAAGTAGGGAACACAAAGCTCATGTCAGACTCTCCTATATCTGTTTCCCTCTGGAAGAATGTCCAGGCTGCAGTGTAAGGGAAACAAAGTGGTAAGTGTGTGATGTCATGGGGGAGGGAGAGGGAGATTATACCCAAAGAACCTGCAGCCTAGAAAATACCAGGCCCTTTCTGTGTATGCCCAGCTGCTACTTGCTCTGTCTTGGCCCAGGACCAGGGGAATTATCTAGTCAGCTTGGAGAGAGCGTAGTTCAAACCCATGTATCCATAGAGGGGTGTGTGTGTGTGTGTGTGTGTAGATGGAAGGTGAGGAGGAGGGGAAGAGAGGGACACGAAGAGGAAGGGGAAGAGGAGTGTCGAAGAATGGGGTGTAGGAGGAGGAGGGGGAGAGGGTGGAGGAAGTGAAAAAAGGAGAGGGGGGAGGGGGAGAAGGGAGAAAGAAGAGAAAGAAGGGGAAGAGCAGGAAGAGGGCAAAAGGGAAGGAAGAGGAAGAGGTGAGGACGAAGAAAAAGGAAGGGAGAGGGAGGGGAAGGGAGGAAGAGGGAGGTGGAGGTGAACCACTGCCAGGTCCACCTGGGAAGGAGGGCACGGAGGAGGGGAAAGGGGACGGAGAGGAAAGGTAGGAAGGAGGGGAGGAGGGATGGGAGGATAGGAGGAGGAGGGGAGAAAGAGGAGGGAAAAAGGCAGGAGGATGGGAGGAGAAAAAGAGGGGAGGAGGAAGGGGGAAGCGGGGGTAGACCAGTGCTGGGTCCACATTTAATAGCATGCGCAAGTACTGTGCCTTTTACAGTCAGAGACTGTCTGGCTTTCTGGTAGTGCTCAGAGACGCCTTCGGGTGGACCCCGAGATGCAGCTGCTTACAAGCTCTTAGACAGACCGCAGCTACGCTCTCCTCCGCAGAGCCCAGTCTCGCGCTCCGCCTGAGCCTCGGCCTCCGGGGAACTTCATTTCCCGTCGGGTTGTGGGGCTCCGCGCACGCGCGTTAGTGGCCCCAGCTATGGCGACCGTGCTGTCCCGTGCGCTCAAGCTCCCAGGTAAAGAGACGGGTCTCCAGGACCACCCCGCCCCCGCCCCTCATCCACCTCGGGCTCCTTCAGGCTGGGGAGGGGAAAGAAGAGGAGGAAGCCGGGCAGACCCCAGGGTGTAGTGCCCCGCCTCAGTGGGGAGGGGGAGCGGGAGCGGAGATCGGGGCTGAGGAAAGTAGAGGCAGCAGAAGCCGGGTCCTGGGGGTCGCCGGTGGCCGGCGCATCCCGGGGAGACGGGCACCTCCCCGCGCCTCTCGCGGGGTCCGCTCGTTGACCGGGCTCGGGAAAAGGGACCCCAGGAAATGGGGTCCGTGTTTGAGAGAGAGTCCTGGGTGGATGTGCGTGCCCGGGAGCGGGATGGGGCGAGGGGCTGCGGCTGGGGGGGACGGGGCGAGGGGCCGGCGGCCGCGGGACCAGGCGTGGCGCCTGCATCAGCCCCAGCATCCTCAGCCCCAGCATCCTCAGCTCCAGCATCCGCATCAGCACCCGGGTCAGCACCAGCGTCAGGGGCCGCCGCACCCGCGCCCGAAGCCCCAGCCCCAGCCCCAGCCCCAGCCCCAGCCCCAGCCCCAGCCCCAGCCCCAGCCCCAGCCCCAGCCCCAGTCCCAACTAGCTCGTGACGGCTGCTCTGCCGGGACGCAGGAGCCAAGCAAGGTCTGAGCTCTGCAGACCCAAGGTTTCCTCTTCGCCAGCACTTTCTGTGGAGCCGAATGGGGGATGGGGTTCAGGAGTCAAACCGGAGCGCCAGGCTTTTTTCTTTCTTTCTTTTTTTCTTCTCAGACGTAGGAGGTGGAGAATGGGGGAGGGGAGGAAGGTAACGACCTGAAAGTGAGCGTGGAGGCGTTCATTTCAGTTCCCTTTGTCAGCTGGGGTTTTGCAATCCTGAAGGCGGTATCTCAGGAGTTGATAGTGATGATGGTGTCCCCAGAACTGCTGGGCTTACAAAATGAGTCCGCTATCATCACCGGGATAAGACTATGCTTTAGTTTTCCTCTAACAGAAATAAATACAGATGTACACTCAAATAACAACCCAGTCATTTGTTTTGTCTGATCGAAACACTTCTCTTCAAAAAAAAGTAATTCAGATATATACATATATACATGTATATACATACATACACACATATATATCCTTAACATTGACATTAAACTGATAGTGGGAAAAGTGAATCCCTTCACTGGCTTCATCAAAAATCGTTTGTTCCTTGACATAACACTCTGACTTGGGCCCTTACGGTTTTGGAGTTTGCAGCCTAATTATGCAACCAGGTTTTGTCATTGGAAGTGAGAATCTGTTTTGTATCCAAACTTTCTCTTTCACCTAAAGCCAATCTTTATATTGGTACTTGCATTTTAGGTCACAAGGACACTGGGATAATTATTAATGTAGAAACAAGGAATAGACCTGTAATTTCAGTTATATAAAGAATTGCCTGTACTGCTGAGGCAGGTCAGCACTTTCTCTGTTACATATATATTTTAGTGAGTTGTCTAGGCCACTGAGAGGTTAAATGAAATGCTCAGGGTCACATAACCAGAGGTGGGACGGGAACCCACATGGTCCTGGCTTTTGAGATTGGCTCTCTATCTGCTGGTGCTGTGGAAAGAGCACAGGGCAGGCCAGTGCTCAGGAAGACCTGAGTTCAAATCTGGCCTCAGGTACTAGCTGGGTGACCTTGGGCAAGTCACTTAACCCTGTTTGCCTCAGTTTCCTCATCCGCAAAATGAATTGAAAAAAGAAATAGCAAGCCACTTTAGTATCTTTGACAAAAAAAAAAAAACCCAATGGGGTCACGGTCTGACAGGACTGAACAACAACTCTATCTACGCTACACAGTTTCTCTTATGAGGGACTAAATATACTGGGAAATTTAAATTTAGGAAGTAGCACATACCTTTATGTGATGAGACTGATTGACTTTATATGAATGAAAACCTGTTGCATTCTGGTCTGGTATCTCTCAAGGTTTGGAGATCAGGAATGAATGAATGAATTAAGCTCATATTATGAAGGCACTATGCTAAGTGCTGGGGATATAGCTATGAAAGAGACAATCTGTGCCCTCTATGAGTTTGTATTCTAGTTGGGGGCTTACACATAGGGGAGTTATGACTAGGGAAGGGTATTTTAGTTAAAAAAGTTACTGGAATGGTGAGTGAATTGGAATCATAGGGCTATGGATTGAATGACTCTTTCCAGAAGTAGTAGTAGTGTCGATTTGAATACTGATCCCAGGAAATAATTTAGAAAGCCAGAGTCGGGATGGTGTGCTCAGGGCTGCATTGCAAGATGACTGAGAGAAGCATGGTCAGAGACCTTGAGAGGGCTAGATATATTTCACTGTCAGCAATGAGAACAGCACAGTCACCAGGAATTCCAAAATTGAGTGACTTAACTCTTCCAGAACAGGGGAAAGGCTGTATAAAAAATATTTGGAATTTCTTCTTTAAATTCCTTTTTCTACATCAGCATAGGTCATTAGTTATCCTTGGAAGATGTGGATGTAGGAAGGACATTGTTTCAGAAACTATTGAGTTCTTCTCAATTCTTATCCTTAAGCCTGGGGCTAGGAGACGCAGCAAAGTATTTAGTTTCAGAAACTTGGCCTTCTGACAAGGTGTGAAACTTTGCCAAAGTCAACTTACTCTTTAGGCTTGTGTGTAGAGGCACATGGTTTAAAGCAGTCAGGTGTGTCTTACTTGTTTTTTTTTTTCCTCCTAAATCTAGAAACCAGTTGCTTTGTATTCTGAAGTACAGAGCTATTTTTGTCAGTTTTTCCTTTATTTTTTTCTTGATGTCTTGATATTTCATATATATTATTATCCATTATATTTCATGTAAATTAATTTTTATATGATTATTCATTGTCTCACACTTTGGGGGTAGTCAGCATGGTGGTAGTTTAGAAACTCAGGGGCTGTGGGCTGTAATTCTGTGTATCTCATCATTTTCTCAGTTAATGCCTTTAGTTAGGCCAAAGGGGCCTGAGGTAATAATGAGTTACTGTCAGACCCCAAAGCATTAGTATAAAAAATTCTACTGATGAACCTTTCATCCATTAAACTTTTATTAAAAACAAAGGAAAGAGGAAGGTATTTGATTTATTGTCATATAATGAGTTTAATTAGTAACAATGAAAATGTACTACTGGGATTATTAATCATTAGTTCCAGATTTTCAGGGCTGTTTTAAGCTTGGGTGAGTGGTTTTTAATTGAGAATTAAGCGTTACCTTAATGGTCATGGTGGTACAATAATATTTAAAAATATATATTCTTAGGCTGAATCTGTGTCCCTGGGTCCCCTAAACCTATCACCCTTTAGGTATATTTGTCACACTCTGATTTGTTTCCCCAGAAATATTTAGGGAAGTTTTGTGTTTACACTTACCCATCTTTCTCACCTATTTATGTCTCTTTCTATTTGTACTCTTGGGCATACTCCATAAACAATACCTTTCAGTTGCTTTTCCTAGGGAAAAAAATGAATCACAGTGGAAAGTTCATTTTTATCTATGCTGTGATGTATTTGAATAGGTCACTAGATTATTTATATCTTTTCCTGAGTCTCCCTTATTTTAGCAAGGAAAATCAAGCTATAACTTGGGGAAATAAAGCTATAACTATAACTCATAGTTAAGTTTGGCAGAATCGAATCACTAAATGACTCGAGTATTGGAGCACAAAGTTTGAATTCAGCATTGTCAGTTAAGAACAATCTTGAGCAAATCATTGTCTATCTTAGTATCTTTAAGTCAATTCTGCAAGCATTTTGTTGTTTGTTTTTTTCAGTTGTGTCCAACTCTTTGTGACCCCATCTAGGTTTTTTTTTTTAATTGGCAAAGATACTGCAATGGTTTGCCATTTCCTTCTCCAGCTGATTTTATAGATGCCCTGAGGCAAACAGGGTTAGGTGACATGCCCAGGGTCACATGGATAGTATGTGTCTGAGGCCATATCTGAACTCAGCTCTTCCTGACTCCAGGCCTGGTGCTCTATCCACTTCACCACTTAACTGCCCTATTAAGCCCTTACTAAGCACTAGGTATGCAAATAGAAGCAGAGAGAGAGAGAGAGAGAGAGAGAGAGAGAGAGAGTGTGTGTGTGTGTGTGTGTGTGTGTGTGTGGCAGTTCCTGACCTCAAGGAGCTTACATTCTAATGGTGGAAGTTAACACATTAAAAGGAAACTGAAAAGCAGGTGGGGGGAGGGGATGGACCCAGGAGAAGGTGCTTGTATTGGCCATAATGATGAACCCTTGGGAATTAAAGTTGGCTGGGCTGGACCTTTCCTCAAAATAGAGCTTTCTGGAGCAGTGGGACAAGGGAGCACTGGGGGAAGAAGAATGCAGCTGAAACTTGGTGGCAAAGGAGTGTTTTACTCTTGGTGTAGTCTGTGATCCTTCAGAAGTTCTTATTAATTTATGGTTTTGCTAATTTAGAATTTGCATTTTGTTGATTGGGCAGAAGTTTACCTTTATGCCATCTGTGGAAAAGAGTTTGGTAAGTAGCTTTTAACAGTATAAAGAAGATACATTTAGGGGCGGCTAGGTGGCGCTGTGGATAGAGCACCTGCTCTAGAGTCAGGAGGACCTGAGTCCAAATCTGACCTCAGACACTTGACACTTACTAGCTGTGTGACCCTGGGCAAGTCACTTAATCCCACTGCCTAACCGCCCCCCCCCCAAAAAAAAGACATAAAAAAGAAGACATGTTTAACTTGCTTTATAATGAAGCTAAGAATTGTTTTTAAGGACCACTTCTGTGGGAGCCTTGTTTTTAAAAGAATGTTTGTGTTGTTTGTAAGTATCTTTGTAAACAACACAAACATTCCTTATCTGTTAAAGCTTCTATTAGTTTTTATAAATCATATGGCAAGTTGTCAGTTCCATTAAGCTTAAGAAAACAACCAACTACTTTTCTTAAGTATTCTGCAACTTAGGCTGCTCAGTAAATTGGAATGATTTTTCTTTAACTTAGAGTGAATTGGTGAGATTTTACTGTATTTCAAAGAGTTCAAAGGGACCTTAGAGATGAGGGAGTCTTCAGTTGAGAGAATTGAGCCTGAAGTTAGGTTGACTGGAATAGCTAGTCAGTGAAAAAGCTGGAATCAGAATCCATATTTCTGGGTCTAAAGTCTAGTGCTCCTTCCACTATGACATTGCCTCTAATCAGTGATATCAAAGTGATATTATTTTGACCCCAGTACTATTTTAGGTTGCGTTTAAAGTGTGAGAAATTCTCTTCTGAATACTATTTAAAATATAGTCTTTTAATTAAAAAAGAATGCTCCTTGTTACAAAAGGCACAGAGGGTCTAAAGATAATAATCTTATTTCCTACAAGGTCATTGATACTTTAATTTATATAATAACTCAGTTATCAAGCATGAATCCTGAGCAAGTATAAACACATAAGTATATATACATATGTGTATATATATATGCACACATTTGTACCTTATATATACAACACATATATGATATTTAAAACACACATATATATGAGTGTATAGATTAATAGCTATAGTATTGTTTTATCAAGATTTTGAGCTGAAAATGAGAAAACTGCTTCTCCTTATGAAGACCAATAGTTTTTCTACAATTTATGAACTTGGAGAGTTGTCTCCAGCACTGAGAGTTTAAATGACTTGCCTAAACTAAAAACGCCGTTATGCATCAGAGATCTGAACCCAGGTCTTCCCTACTTCAAAGCCATTTCTTTATATTCTACATCGCTCTGCCTTTCAGCTACTATATATTTGTATTATCAGTTATCACCAATTAATAGTAAAATACCTTTAATGCTAAAACTGCACTGGATATGCATTTTAATTCAGCAATCATCTTAAAGTGCCTTTTCTGGGTCAGATGCTGGGTACAGAAAGACAAACAGGTAAAGCAGTCCATGCTGTCTTCCTTAAAAAAAAAATTCAGAATCCAATGGTCTTTTTTCAGTTCTCTTTATTTACCAGTAACAAACCTCTTTACTTTTTAAAACAATTGACCTGGATACATTCTCTGCCCTGATTTTTATGATGCTGTTATGTCCTGGTTCTTATAACTTTGACACTTCTTTTCAGTCTGCCTTTGCGGGATCAGCACCCATGTTCTGACCACTAAGCATCCTCATACCCCAGGGATCTGTCTTGGGTTGTCTCCTCTCTCTACAAGCTTAGTGATTTCCTTAGCTACCGTGTGTCTAGTTATCATTTCTATTTGGATGACTTTCCAGTCTATATATCCAGACTTCATTTGAGGTGCCATGGCACAGTTTTAGGTCTGAAGTCAGAGGACCTGGGTTCAAATTCCAGCTCTGAAGCTTACGAATTCCATAGCTTTGGCAAGTCATTTTCTTTGAACTCCTTGGACCTCAATCTCCACATTTGTAAAATGAAAGAGTTGATATAGGTGGCCTTGGAGATCCCTTCCAGTCCTAAATCTGTGATCCTATGAGCTCATCCTAACTGAATCTTATATGTCCACCTGAATGAATTTTAGGCATTTCATACTTAATATATCTAAAACCAAACTCATTATTATCCTAAACAAGTGTCCTTGTGTCTTTCTGTTTAGGGGTCCACCATCCTTCTGGTCACCTAGGTTTATAACCTTAGAGTCATATGCTTCACCTCACTATCTCATTTCCAATCAGTTGCCAGATTTTGTCAATTCTATCTCTACAACTTCTTTTAAATCTGTCTCCCCTTCGCTCCCACAGGCAACACACTAGTTCAGGCACTCATTAGCTCTTGCCTGGACTATTGAAATAGCCTTGTACTGTATCTAGCTTCCAGTCTTTCCCTTTTCCAGTCCTTTGCATTGCTTTTAGGAAAAAACACAAACTCCTTCATCTGGCATTTAAAAGCTTAATAATCTGGTTCCGCGATCATATCCCATTATTCCCCTGTACATATATTCTACCTACCAGGAAATTATTCTACTTATTGTTCCCTGTATATCACATTCCATCTTCTGCCTCTGCAGAGACCGTCCCTCATGCTTAGAATGCCTAACTTCTGTTTGCTCAGTTTCCTCAACTGTAAAGTTGGGGTCTTCCTCCTAGGGTTGTTGTGAGGGGCAAGTGAGATATTAGTAAAGTGTTTAGTGCAGTGGCTGGCATATATATAGTTAATAAATGCTTTTTTTTCTTCTTTTCTTTACCTCCCTCCTCCCTCATTTCATAGTTACTTTATATTGTATATATGGGCTGGGACCCCATGCCTCATTTCTCCTTGCCAGCATGGCACCTAGTTGCTGATTTCTTTTACCCCTCCCCACCATGGACTCTGCTGCTGCTTCATGCAGCTTGGTCTTTGCCATGTCAGCTTCCAGAAGAATAACTACTTTGCTCTGCTGCTGCCATCATTTGTTTTCAGCAGGTGTTGGGGTTATCCTGTCACTGCTTGTCTTTCTTTCCACAGATGGCTCATTGCCTATGGTGCCTAGCTTCCCATGGTCCTGTTTCTTCATGTTTTAGGGAACCACTTCATGATTTGCTCTCCTCTTTATACTCGATCCTCTCTGAAATTGGCTAGGCTGGTGCTCAGATAATCATCCATGCTAGGACTTACAGTAAATGCCATGACAACTTGGCAGGACCCGCCTGAGCTTATATTCTTTTGGCGTAGTGTTCAAGGAAGCAGAGTGACTTCTAAGCCACAGCAGAGGATTAGAGTAGCACTGTACACATTTCTGGTTTCATTTTAAGTTACTCCTCTTCATTCACTTTATGGTACAGCCAAACTAACCTTGCTTTTCATTCCACACATCACACCATCTCTTATCTCTGTGCCTTAGCACTGGCTGTCACTCATACATGGGAAGCACGTTCTTCTCACCTTTGCTTCACAGAATCTCTCTTTTCCTTCAAGATTCAGCTGACGCACTACCTTATGCATGGAATCTTTCTTAATGTTATGAACTACTAGTGCTTTCTCTCCTTAGTTACTTTGTATTTAACTATCTTATATATATTTTTTCCTTATATTTACATAGTTATATGTTCTTGTGTCTCCTGTTAGAATGAGAACAGGGATTGTTTCATTCTTTGTATTTGTCTCCCCAGTGCCTACCATTTGTTGTTGTTCAGTTATTTTAGTCATATCTGGCTCTTCGTGACTCCATTTGGGGTTTTCTTGGCAAAGATACTGGAGTGGTTTGCCATTTTCTTCTCCAGCTCATTTTACAGATGAGGAACTGAGGCAAACAGGGGTAAGTGACTTGCCCAGCTAGTGAGTGTCTAAGGCTGGATTTGACCTCAGGAAGATGAGTCTTCCTGGTTTCAGGCCCAGCTTTCTATCTACTCCTAGTGGATAGCAGTCCCCGGTATCTAGTTTAGTTCTTGGCAAATAGTGGGTACTTAATAAGTGCTTGTTGATTGATTGATATACAAGAGGCATTGATTGACAGGAGAGCTGGTCTTAGAGTTAGGAAAACTTGTGTTCAAGTGTCATCTCTGACAAATATTGATGGCATGACCTTGGGCAGGGGTGGGGAACCTTCTGCCTCGAGGCCTCATGTGACCCTTTAGGCCCTCAAATTTGGCCCTTTGACTGAATCCAAACTTCACAGAATGAATACTTTTATTAAGGGGATTTGTTCTGTGAAGTTTGGATTCAGCCAAAGGGCTGCACTTGAGGACCTAGAGGGTCACATGTGGCCTCAAGGCTGCAAATTCCCCACCCCTGATCTTGGGTAAATCATGCATCCTCTCAGTGCTCAAGGTTTTTCTCTAGGACTCTAAATTGCAGAGTAATTGTTATTATGTATTAGTGGAAGGGGTTTTCTCATCCAGTTGGTACACCAGTGAAGTCACTGGTCTGGACCATAAATGAATACATCCTTTAAAGAGCTCAGAGTTCATCTGGGGTTTATCTTTTTTCCTTTTTATCAATGATGATAGCTCTCTCTGTCTTTAGGGAAGAAGAGTCCAGATTTAGGGGAATATGATCCTCTCACCCAGGCTGACAGTGATGAAAGTGAAGATGATCTTGTTATCAACCTAAAGCAGAAAAATGGGGGTGTCAAAAATGGGAAGAGCCCCCAGGGAGAAGGGCCAGAGCCTGACTCCGATGCGGAAGGAGTCGGGCCTGCCAAGCAGCATTTGTCAGAAGTCACCACGGAGGGCTACCCTTTGCCTCCTCTTGGCAGTCTGGAGCAAAAGACGGCATCTTCATTTGTGTCTCACGTGCGCACGTTGATCTTCTTGTTCACTGTCCTGATTTCAATGATCCTGGTGTTAGTGTGTGCCTTTCTGATCCCTTGCCCTCCCAGAGATCTGCAGAATATGTGGAGCCGCCATTTGGGCCCAGAAGGAGGTGAGTGGCACTATTTCCAGCTCTAGATTTCTGAAACTTCATGGGGTCCCTGAATATCTCGTGATTCTTCAATCAAAATTAATTTACATTTATTCTAATTGTTACAAAACTCTTGAAGAAATTTTTTGGTAATAAGTGGAGGGACTTGGGGGGTAGGTAAAATTAACCTAATGCTTTTTCTGTTTTTGTGCCAGACCTGTGACCTCATTGGAATAAGGTTTACTGTTGATTGGAGAGGATGGGACTGGATCTGAGATTCCATCGGTGCATGGAGCTCATGGTCAGAAGGCTTCCTCCACCAATGCAGTTCAGCATTTTTCCTGAATCATGTAGTCTAAGATTATGATAGTATAGCACATGTCTGATTATAATAGTATAACATAATGTAATAGTAATAACTGCATTTATACAGTAACTTTTCAATTATGAAGCATTTAACATGCATTATTTCATTTAATCTTCGTGCAAAGTAAATAGATGAAGAAACTGATGCACAGAAAGGTAAATTTTGACTTCCCAAAGCACAAGCATAGGTAGGACTTGAACTCAGGGTCTCTGACTCCAAGTCTGGTACTTTTTTCTGCTGCACGCTGGGGAAGCATTGCCCTCCAGTATCTTTGTCCAGTTGGCAGATCTGGAGTAGGCTCTGAGAGGAGGAAACACGTGTAAGTGGGACACTCCTCGCCTCTGCACCAGTGCAGTGGAATGCCATACAAAGGTGGATTTCTAGTGATAAGTACAGCCCAGAGCCTGATCATCCAGGGATAAGATGCTATCCCATGTATAAGGCACTTAGCCAAGTTTCATTTCCTCTATAAAAATGTATTTATTCTTCTTTGCTTTCTGTATTAAATGGCGAGGGTGGTACAGAGGGAGTGGTTAATATGGTACTTGCTGTGCTTCCTAGAACCACTCCAGAAGTGGCTGTATTTCAAACAAGCTTATAGATAGATAGATGGATAGATAGAAGGCTGTAGATTAAAAAAAAAGTTACATGTTTCCCAATAAGAAAGGTTGAGATGCACCCCAGTTCCTTGAATTATTTTAGTACAGAAACTGCTTAATTGTTCCTTTCAAGGTGAGTCCTTTGTATCCATCCTCAGTCATCCTAAGGCATAAGAGGGTGTCTGTGGTCTGGGATACCTTCCTACAAATGGGAATCTGTACCCCTTTGTGTTCTTTGTGCATCCAGACCAGCAAGTTGGCCCAACTAATGAGTAGTAGGGGACCTGGGGATCTCTTTGCAGACTGAGTTGAAATAGCAGGGAAAAGATTCTATATCTTATCTTAGACCATTAACTTTTGCTTCCTCCTCAGACTTAGGGAATGGGGTGACAAATTCCAGTGGTTTCCACTGTAGAGCAAGTCTTATAACTGGCGTCTTGTTCTGATCTTAAGATAGAAGCCCTTTGTGTCCTATTGACTTAATCACTGAATTGAAACTGCTTTTTTGAAAGATATCTATGACCTGTTAGTTGTCACATCTGAAGGCTTCTTCTCATTTCTTATCATTCTTGACCTCTCTGCAGTATTTGATGCTGTTTGCCATCCTTTTCTTCTGAATATTCTCTCCTCTGGGTTTTCATGACATTGTTCTCTCTTGGTTCCTTCCAACCTTTCTGTCTGCTTCTTCTGTCTCCTTTGCAGGCCAGTCGTCCATGTAATGACCCCTAACTGTGAGTGTACCCCAAAGTTCTGCCCTGGCCCCTTTTCTCTTTCTATACCCTCTCATTTGGTAACCTTAACAGTCCTCCTTTGTTTAATTACCATCCCTATGCAGATGATTCTCAGACCTAAATACTTAGCCCTAGTCTCCCTTCTGAGCTCCATTTCAAACTGGATGTCCCATAAATATTTGAAACGTTACCCTTCTAAAACAGAACTTGTTACGTGCCACCCACCAAACTCACCCTTCCAGAATTCTCTCTTTCTGCTTAGGGTAACACCATCCTTTCAGGCACCCAGGTTTGCAATCTTGATATTACCCTTGATTCTTCTCTCTTCCTCACCCTATATATCAAATTGTTGCCAAATCTTGTTTCTCCTTCCATGATGTTTCTTGCAACTGTCTTCTCTCTGCTCAAATGGCCACCACCCTAGTTTGAGGCCCTTATCCTCTCTCACCTGGACTATTGAAACAGTCTGTTAATTGATCTCCATACCTCATGGTTCTCCCCTCCAGTCTATCCACCCCACACAGCAACTTAGGTGATTTTTCTAAAGCACAAGTCTATGTTTCTCCCCTACTCAATAAACTCTGTTGGTTTCCTGTTCCCTCTATGATCAAACATAAACTCCTCTGTCATTGAAAACTCTTGGCAACCTGGCTCCAGTTTTCCTTTTCCAGCCTTATCATCACTGCCCTTCTTTCACTTTACAATCCAGCCAAACTGACCTTCCTGTTGTTCATTACACATGATGCACAATGTCCTTTCTTTGTGTCATGGCTTTGACCCTTTCTCACATGAGGTATGCACTCCCTCCTTACTGCTGATTCTTAGAAACCCTTGATTTTTTTTCCAAGATGTGGTTCAAGTATCCCATTCTACTTGAAGTCTTTCTGTATTCTCTCAGATGTTACTGACCTCTCCCTCCCTATTACTTTGTATATATTTGTGTACATGTTGTTTCTCTATTAGAATGTAAGCTCCTTTATGAAGTCTGTTTCATTTTTGTATTTGTGTCCCAAGTGCCTAGAAGAGTGTCTGGTACATAGTAGGCATTTACTTGTTGATAGATTTGCTAAGTATCTTCTTTTCCTCTGTCAATATAATAGGTGGGGACTTCTCTCTGCTGGAACTGGTTGACGTGAATGGTGATGGATTACCTGATGTCCTGCTTTCCTTTGTGAACCTAAAAAATGGGAGTTTAATAGGTAAGAGACACGATGCTGAATCTACTTGATTGGGAGAGTTTTTGGGAAACTTTATGTCTCTCCCCACATGGCTGCAACATTCATTAAAGAGGATTGGAGCTATTATTATTATTATTATTAGAGCTAGTTTATGAAACGGTGTAACTTTTATTTTTGCTTGAGGATGAAAGTAATCCATTCACATTTCTTGTCCCAAGACATTTATTTGGGGTTCCCATTATGAAAATCTAGGTGTTCATCAAAAGTATCAAACTTTGAACTTGACTTTTGCGGCTAGAAATTTCTTATATGAATTTTTTTGCAATGCACACAAACCATTTGGGCATAAATAGAGTATGAAAAAGGTCCAACCTTCAATTAGGAGGCATCACACTTACTTATTGAATAATTTTGTTCTTTGTTTTTAATTTAGAAAATGGATCAATGAAATATTTTATTTATTTAAAACATGATTAAGTTTTTTTAAAAAACATATATGGTTCTTGCTTATTTTTTCTTTGCTTTAGTAGCTCTCAGCATAAAAAAGATTTTCTTTACTAGCTTTTTATAGCTCATAAAGCTGGGTGGCTTCCAGCCTTTTGAGATTCCATACTGTTGGAATCACAGTGATGATCACTTAAGCCCATGAGTAAAATCATGGATTTAAGGTCCATTAGATCCAGCTAGCTTTACTCTGATCCATGGCCATGGATCCATTGCACTCATACCCTTGGCCAGCTGCCTTATAAATATGCGCCATTCATTGGTCACAAGAGGGATGAGTGAGAGCACATAGATGGATAAATGCCAACTCATCACTGCCCCTAGACAAACAGTTCAGAGCACTAACAAATGATCAATAACATTGTTTGTTTCCATGAAGAGCAGCATATTTTGTTATTCATAGATAGATTAAAAAGTATCACTCTCTTCATTTTACAGGAGAAACAGTCTTCAACTGTTCAAATCTTATTGTTTAACTTTTCGTACATTTTTGTTTTGACCCCCAAATAACTGTAAACTCCTTGAGGGGAGAGAATGATTTTCTTGTACTTTTTGGTGCATGTGCAATACTAGCAGGTAACTCTTTTCTCTTCCTTTTTCTTATATGCCTTCAGCTGTCCCTAAGCCCCGGGCCACTCTGCTAGCTCTTTCAGGGGTAAATGGGAGCACTCTTTGGACCACTTCTCTCTCAGAGGAGGTACAAAGCTTACAGTGTTCTAGGCTAACTCCAGTAGACTCAGCAGAAGCCATCTGTCTTGTGACTGGGATATCCAAGCTGCTCAGTGCACTCAATGCCACTTCAGGTAAAGATGAAATGTCACAGAGAAATAATTATGAGTTATGAAAATGGATTAGATCATCCCAATAGAGAGTGGGGTCCCTTGCCCTCCTCCATGATGGGAAGTTTAATTTTTTAGCATGAAAGACATATTTTACAGGGTATCGGGGAAGAAATTAGAGAATATTGAACAAAACAAATTCAGATTAAGCTGTTTTGTTTAGTTTGGACAAAAAATGCTTTATTCTTCAAACAAAAAATCCCCTGAGATCTTTGGTATACAAAATGCCCCAACCCCCTCTCCCCATTATCTTTTCCTCAAAGATATCCAAGTTTTGTAATGTCAGAATAGGCTCACAGGAGTTGATTTTAAACATATAATTTAGCTCCTTAAAAATTCATGAAGAAATCATGGTTTGTTAAGCAATGCTAATTTGGTTATTTAGCCAGGAAACCTGAATTGAATTGAAAATAATTAAATAATGGTATATGTTACTAGACTTACTTATATGTTATTTGTAAAATGCACAGTTGAGGCACATTTGTCACTGGATTTTCCTCCCAGGTAAAGTTTTGGAGTAAAAATAATAAATATCTATTATGTGTGATTAATGAAGCGACATATCTAGATTTTTAGCAAATGTACAATTTGTACATTCAGGTGGGTATTGTTTCCTTTATAAAGTAGTCACCTCAGGGAGCTGTATGTGTACGGTTATTAGAATTCCACTTTTGGAATTGCCTTCTGAGCCTGTGATGCAGTCTTTTAAATGCCCTCAGATTTTTGTTCTTTGAGTGTATAGTAGATTTTTTAGAAACAACTTAAGGTCATTAGAAACCAAATTTAATGAGTAAAGTGGGTGATCAATCCAGGAAATGCAAGTGTTTGTTAAAAAGAGGTGGTAACATTGGTGTTCTTGTACATGACTCATGAACTATCTTTGAAGGCTCTCCCATACTTTTTCTGATATTTGCTTAAGTGTCTTGTGGTAGAGATAGAGAATAGGTTTTCTGAATAATTCCCTCTAATCCTTGTCCATATGATAAGCCACACAACAAACCACCTGTAACATCCCCCTCCCCTCCAAAAAAATCATTTACTCTTTCCCAAGCTAATTTCAGCTACATCTTTTGAATTATATATGAATTTAATACATTGCCTTATTTTGCTAAACAAATTCCCCACTTCCACATGCCACCTGTGAAATGAGGAGGGGCAAGGGAGAAGAAGGTGACTTTTTTTTCTCCAGCTCAGTTTTTTTCTTCTCTGTGGGGTGAAAGGTTTGCTAATACAAAGTCACATCAGCAACTAGTCTGCTTGTTCTCCCATAGGCAAAGCCATTTGGACTCTAAACCCAAGCCACTTGTCCAATGGGACTTTGGTCTCCTCAGCTGTGGTGCTGCCAGATTTGGATGATGATGGAGTTAGAGATCTCCTGGTTCTGACCATTAAGCACTTACAGGTATGGCCTCAATTAGATGACCCTCATTTTGGAAAGAATATGAGAGTAGGAGTACCTCAATCCAGGTTTAGTCATTTCCTAGTTTTCTTACTATAGTGGGGAGATAATAAATAAGAATGTTTGTTTTTTTTTTAAACCTGTAAAGGACTCTACAGATAAAAAGTATTGTAATTATTCCTATTATAGCCTTTCCTATTCCACCCCCTTCCTCAAGCTGCTGGTGCCCTCCCATCCCAGACTATTTTTTATTTTTGTACCTATTCAGTACCTACCTATGGGGATATGTTTTTTCCCCTGGTAGAATGTAAGCTCAGTGATTGCTTTACTTTTGTCTGTTTTCCCAGTAGCTATTTATTGATTAATTGAAACTTTCAGCTAAGAAGTTGGACTTATGGTTCTATTAAAAAAATGAAACAAAAACAACTAATTTATTGTGATAGCTATTGTTTTATATCTGACCACTCCACTCTGGTTTTCAATGCATATTTTTCTTATGTTGTTTTTTTTTTAAAGTATTTTATTAGAGTTTACAGAAGTTCTAGAATTTACCAGCCTTGGAGGTAAAAGTCAAAATAAATGTAGCACCATCAGGGATAGTATGTATTTCTGCTCTAGTATCTCAAATCATACTTCACCTCCTTTAAGGTAGAAGAAAAATTGATTCCTTTTCAGTGGTCCACTAAGGTTTTGGGACTTTTCTTCTTACTTCCTGTGCTCAATGAACTAAAACTTGAGACCAATAATACCAGAATCAGCCACAACATTAATTTTGTCTAAGAATCTGTTCAATTGGATGCAAGTTTCCTGATCATTATCAGTAATTCTGTTCTAGAGACCCCAGGGGCTAAGGGATTGTTTTCAACTTTTTGGAGAGGAAGTTTCTTTGACAAGATTATAGTTGCATGGAAAAGGAAGCAAAGTGTTGGTGCCCAGGACAGGTTTCTTCCCTCTCTATCTGGCTTATTTCTGGGGTAGGATTTCTTTCAATATGGTGTCCGGAACTAGGGCTCAGGCCTTTATCAGGATAAAACTTTACAGAGGCTTTGGTTTCTTGCCTGCTCCAGATCCAGCAGAAGCTCTGTGCCTTTTTTTTTCTTTCCTTCTATGTTGTACCCAGGACATTGCCTTGTTTGCTTCACCTTAATTATAGTTCTACATGGGATACATTGAGAGGTGATGTAAAGGGCGTAATTTTCATTGGGAAGTGATAGAGATAATAATGGTGAAATTAAAGGGATTAGGGAAATGGATTTCAACCTTTTGTTAACTTCTTTTCACCCTTGCACTAACAATACAGTGTCTGTGAAAGTGTCCCAGTCAATTCAGGATATATACGACAAGGAGATGACTTGGATTTATAGGTAAGAGCTCACTATGATACAATTCAACACCCAAGTTTATGGTACTCTCTCATCTCTGGAGGTTAGTTCGTGGGGTCTGCATCTTATTACTGATTGAGGTGGGCCTGGTTAGCTCAGAGGAGGTAGCCTGCCTTAGAATCGAAGTCATTTAATCTATCATCCCACTAACTGCACGGGTGCCTTTTATTATACCTTTGGTAGGTGGTCATCCAGAATCTGCTTAAATAGTTCAAGAGATAGAGAATGCAGTACTTTGCAAGGTAGCTCATTTCATTTTTGTATTGCTCTAATTCAATAAAATATATTTTTAATAATTAATTGCCAACTGTGTGCAATGAGAAATTTGATGCAATAGAGATCACTTTCACTTGGTAAGGTGGGGTCAGAGAATCACCCAAGTTAGACCTGGAAGAAAGAAAGATATAGGAACAGATATAGGCTAAGAAGGTAAGGGGAGTCCATTCTGAGAATGAGGAAATAGTAGGAGCAAAGGCATTAAAGACAGAAGTTTAGATGAGTGTAGGAGATAGAGTTGTTTAATTTGGCTGGAGTGTCAAGTATGTGGAAATTGATGGGATATGGGTAGAAATATAGGTTGGAAACAGATGGTGAAGGACCTTGCAATTTCAAATTATATATTATTTGTTATGTAGTAGGGATACACTTAGGGCAGCTAGGTGGTGCAGTAGACCAGGCCTAGAGTCAAGAAAATTCATCTGCCTGCGTTCAAATCTGGCCTCAGCCTCTTACTAACTTCGTGACCCTGGGCAAGTCACATAACTGTTTGCCTCATCTGTAAAATGAGCTGGGGAAGGAAAAGACAAACCACCCCAGTATCTTTGCCAAGAAAACCCTAAATGGGGACAATAACATTACTGGGTTGCACTGATTGGCTACTGGGCAAGGATATTACATTTAGGAGACAAACAACTAAGTTAATGTTGATGGATGGCTGTGACTCTCAGCACTCTTTGACCAGTGCATAGAATGCTGGACTTGGGCTTAAGAAGACCTGAGTTTGAATCCTGCCTTTCTAGCTATGTGATCCTGGGCAAGTCACTTAACTTCTCTATGCCTCAGTTTCCTTATATGTTAAAAAGGGGTAACAATAGTATCTATGTGCTAGGGTTGTGAGGACAACATGTAGACATGTAAAATGTTTTGCAAACCTTAAAGCATTATGTAAGTGCTGGCCTTAGACACTAGCTATATGACCCTGGGCAAGTCACTTAATCCTGTTTGTCTCAGTTTCCTCATCTGAAAAATGAGCTGGAGAAGGAAATGGCAAACCACTTTGCCAAGGAAACCCTAAATAGAGTAATGAAGAGTCAGACATGACTGAAATGATTGACAAGAACAACCACAAGGGTTACACTGAAGGATTTTGAATGGAGTAATATGATTAGATCAGTGCATTTGTAAGATTACTAGTGGTACAAAAAAATGGAAAAGAAAATAGACTAAAGTCAGGAATAAATGTTAGTAGGATCTTATGATTTTCTTAGGTGAAAAGAGATGAGGGTGTACACTAGAGTTGCTGTGGGAATGAGAAGGTGGAGAAAGACTCAAGAGATGTTGCCAAGGTAGAATTGGCCTGATATGGCAATCACTTAGATATGGGAACTGAGGGCCAAGATGACTCCAGTTATGAGCTTGGATGACTAATAGAATGGTAGTGCCAGCAATAGAGATTGAGAATTAGTGGGGAGTAAGAATTTGGAGCTAGAGAAACAAGGAGGAAGAACAGATTTGGCAGGAAGTGTTGGGAGTTCAATTTTAGACACGTTGAATTAGAAGTGCCAGTAGGAGGCAGGGTGATGAAACACACAATGCAATGGACTTGAAGTCAGTAGTCTTGGTTCTCAAGCCAGAACCTGCTCCCTCAGATTGTAGGATCATAGGCTGAGAGCTGGAAGGGGCCTCAAAAGTCATCCAAATTGAGGCCCAGAGTTAAGTGACTTGCCCAAGATCATACCAGTAGTAAGTCTTACTTTCTGTGAGACCTATAAAAAGTCACTTACCCCCTAGGCCTCATTTTACTCATTTGTAAAATGAAGGCATTGGAGTTGATGGCCTTTAAAGGTCCTCTCAGTTCTATCTATGATTCTGTGATTCAAGTGGAGATATCCAACAGGCAACTGAAAATAAGAAATGAGACTCAGGGGAGAGATTGGAAGGGAATATAGATTTGGGAGTCATCTCTATAGAGGTGATCATTGAAGCCATAGAAGTAGATTAAATCAGATGGAGAGAGAAACTGGCTCCAGCTTCTCTTATTTCCTGTTACTCTTCCTCAAGCATTCTTCATTCCGGACAAACTGTTTCTCGTACATGCCATTCCTTCTGCTACCTTGGTGCTTTTTGCACAGGCTCTCACACCCCATGTCCTCTCTTCTCGTCTCTGCCTCTTGGAATCTTTCACTTCCTTCAAGGCATGGGTGCCACCTTCTATTTGAGACCTTTCCTGATGCCCTCGGTCATTAGTGCATCATTCCTGAAATTGCTCTGTAGACATACCTTGAGGTACAAAAGCTTGAAAATTTCTCATGAGCAGATGATATTTTGCTTTTGTCTTTGTATCCTTGTACCTGGTAGGTACTTAATAAATACTAAGTAAATGAAATTGAGAAGAGAATGCGCCAGGAACTGAACCTTGCAGTATTGGGGGATACCCATGCTTAAGACTTGGAAGGAGGATGAGGCACTAACGAAAAATAGAGAAGAAGTCACAGAGGATAGAAGGAAAGCCATGAAAGTCAAGTATATTTAGCGAAAATATGACTCCCTATAACTTTTACCCTTTCATTGAAGTTCTGATCTCTGTGATAAATCTAATATCCATATGACAGCCTTCAGATATTTGAAGACAGTGATAACGTCCCTCCAGGTCTTCTCTTTCAATTCAATTGAATCGAATAATCTTTCTCTAAGCCTTCTCCTCCTTAGTTTAAGTAGTTTCCAGACCCTTCACAATGTGGATTGTTCTCTCTGGAAATTCTTCAGTTTGTCAATATCCCTCATAAAATATAGTGCCTAAATGTGTTCTGATTCATGCAGAGTTAAATGGGACTATTAGGGACTGCCTTGATGGTGAGCATTGTACAGTACTGCTGTCGATGCAGTCTAAGATGGTATTGCATTACACTCAGCTCATATTGAGTGCACAGTTAATTAAAATCCCTCATTTTTTAAAAATGAGAACTACTGTTATGTCTTCTCCATCCTTTATCTGCCCTATTGTTTTTTTAAACTTAGATTCAAGACTTTAAGTTTATGTGGTAATTTTCATTTTGTTAGTTTTGTACTGTCTTTTTAGCCTTTTGAGAATTTTTGAATCTTTATTCTGACATTCAGTGTTTTAGCTCTCTCTTCTACTTTTGTGTGACTTTAATAAGCAAGCTTCCTATGTTTCCATGAATGAATGAAAAAGCATTTATTGAGCACTTACTGTGCCAAGTGCTGTGCTCAGTAGTTAATAAATTGTTGAAAAAGAATGGACAACCCTTCTTAATTCTGGGGTCTTCACTCGCTGATTATTTCAAATTTATCTTATATATAACTTGTCTGTACATAGTCGTTTGTGTGTTGTGTCTCCCATTAGACAGTGAGTTCATCAAAAGCAGGGATTTTTTTTTTTTTACTTTTCTTTGTATTCCTAACATTTAGTACAGTGCCCAGCACATAGTAGAGGCTTAATAAATGCTTGTTAATTTGACTTGATTTGACTTGAAGAGGCTGTTCCTTATGCAGGAATGTACTCTTTTCTCAACTCTTAGAATAGTTAGTTTTCTATGATTGGCTTACATAATACTAGACTGATGCCTGACTTACATCATGCCATTAAGAGAAGCTCCCCTTCTCCTGCTAGCTAGGTTGCCATATATTCCTTAACCAGCATTCTTTGGATGAAGTTGTTTGAACAGCTCTTAATCTACCTATAACTGTACTATGACCCAGACTAAATTCCTCCATCTTGTCTGTATCTTGTCTATGTTATAGAGATTGTATCAGATGCCATGCTGAAATCAAGATATGACATTCCATTGATAGTAATCCTATCAAAACAAGGCAGACTACTGTAGTGATGGTCAGGCCAGATTTCTTGATATCATCATGTATTGGCAAGGAAGACCTCCTTGCCTTCCCCTGATCTGTATTCACACCCTAAATTGGGCTGGTTACTGAGGATGGAAAGACGACCTAACCTCTTTCTGGGCATTTACCTTTGTGCATTTTTAGCTCCATTAAAGTGAGGGATTTTTCTCACCTTCATACTAGTAGAGGATGAGCAACATAATTTTGGTTACACATATTGTGATTCTGGGATGTGTTCTTAGTCTTTTAGTTAATGAGAGGATTTCAACTGAGGAAGATAGACCAGATGATCTTTGACATCCATTCCAGTATGATATTTGAAAATAGGAAATGTCAGGTCCATCATTAACTTATTTTCTTCTACTGCTGCCCGCCTTTTCTTCTCACCTCTACAGGGAGATCTCTATTTCCTGCTAGTTTCAGGCAAGACAGGGATTCCTATGGGCCGGCCTGTGAAGTACAACATCGTGAAAGAGGGCAGTCTGATTCGTCCTCAGGTTCACGTCACCACACATGGGGCGATCTATATCCTGTTTGGCTTTGGTAAGAGTGCCCAAGGGTATGGTTAAGTCTGTCTTGTGGGACACAGTGAAAGCAGGGGAGACTTTGACACTATCCCCTACACTATCTCCTACTAGCGGAGACCTAGTCTCCCCTGTCCATTTGCTTGTGTTGGTCCTATTCTTCCCTATCACACCTTCTAAGAGGCAAGTCATCTTCCTTCAATTGCTTTGGTCACTTTCCCATTTTTTTATGAGTCAGACCCATCTTGTCAGGCTGGGTTGGAACTTCCCATTCAACTTGGACCCTGTGATTGGTTCAGTATTGGTTTCTTCTTGTAATGCTAGGTAACATTCAGGCCATCGCCCTGAGGGATATTTTTGTCCAGGCCCTAAACCGGGACAGCTCGCCGCCTTTGTTGCAGATAGAGGAACCAGAGTGGGAGAAGAGAAGATCTGTCAACCTGTCTGAGCTTATTGACATTTATAGGTAGGGCTGTCGTCTTCTAACTTTGGTTATGGTAAAGCCCCTAGGGAAATCAGCAAATGCCCATGCACTACAGGAACCTGCAGTGTTGTCTGGGCCACAGGATTAGAGAAGAAACTGTGTTAATTATAATATGCCTCCATCTGTACCTTTTGCTGTGTATTAGTTTGTCAGTAATGCCATATTTATGCGGAAAAGCATGTCATGGTCATCTTCATGGCATATATACTTCAACTCTTGTGGGAAGAGGTGACAGTACATCTATAGGTAGTATTTTTTTATTGGGTGTGTGAGATCCAGGAATCTTTTAAGCTTTGGAAACCTGTTTTTAACCTGTAACAAGGCTGTGATAAAGTACTTGCTCCATAGTTTATCCATATACTTTCCTCAAATTGAGCATTTTTTTTTCTGTTTAGCATAAATTACAATAGCATAACAGGAATCCTATTTTCCTTTCCTGTTTATTATCTTATTGTAATTTGTGCTTTTCTCTTTGGAACTTCAAAGGATTTTTTCAGCATTTTGTTACTAACTCCCTTTGTATCTCTGGAAAGTACATAGGTAATAAATATAATGGTCCCAGTTTTACAGAGAAGCTAAATAATTTGGCCAAGTTCAACCTGTAAGTCATTGGCAGATTTTAATGCAGGATTCAGGCATCCAGTTTTTCAGGCATATGGTTTCTTCCAGCGTTCTGTAATTTTGGCCTGATTATCTTTCTTACACTCCCAGAATACTTAGTGGAGAGGTGTGTCCAAGCAACACTCTTTTGTGTGCCTCTCTTGGTATTTGTATGAGGACAAGCTAGGAGTGTCCTAAAGATCAAGAAAATCAGGTTGAGCAGAGATTGGCAGCATCCCTGCTCTTTAAATGAAGGTGAGAAATATAAGGTATAAACAAAAAGCCAACTAGAGGAGCCTCAGAACATAAATTGCTTATGTTTTACTTCCTTTAGTGATGAGGTTGAATTACTCCAGTTGGTAAAAGCACCAGACAGCAACTACAGCAACCTCCTCATCACAACGAAACAGAGTCTTGTCCTTCTTCGGGGTCAAGACCTTGCACGTCATTGGGTGCTGAATCTCCAAGGCCTACACAGGTTTGTAATATACCTATTATAATATCTCTTATTTCTTAGAATTCTAGTTTCCTTCTCTATATCTCAGAATTGCCTAGAGTAATTGCTCAGTTTGGTGCCTAGGACATGTATGTGAGAAAAGGGATAGGAGTTCTTATCTCCCTGACTGTTTGTTTTGTTTACGCTCTTAGCCAACCTACTCCTGGATATTTCACAAATGACCAGACCTTGGATTTTCTGCTGGAGGCACAGTATGGAGATGGGATGAAAAAGGTAAAATTCAAGAAATCAATTTGTCAGTCAGCAATACTTATGAAACACTTAATACATACCCAACATTGTCTGCATCACAGTGTGTGGGTCAAAAGGATAAGACTTGGTCTCTATTCTCCAGGAATTTGTAATTCAACTGTAAAACAAATAAATACACCATCCCATTTGAGTACAACTACCTGGGAAAGCTTCATGGAGATGTAACACTTGAACTGAGCTTTGAAGAATAAATTTGGCAGTTCATTTCAACAAATATTTATTAATCACCTGGTAAGGCACTAAAGCACTATACTAGGTGCTGAAGATAAAATAATAATAATACTATACAAATAAAATATAATATAAATTACATATAAATGTATAATATATAAATACAAAATAAATAAATATCTAAATAATATAAAATAAAAAATAAAATATAATAATAAATAATAAAAACTAAACAGTACCTTTTCCTTAAGGATCTTGTAGTCTTCTGGGGAGATACTACATATTTGCAAAGAATTATATAGTATAAGTGTATTTGGTATTATATTATATAGTGTAAGAAAAATTGAGGAATGAGAAGGCATCTGAATTGAACTTTGAATAAGGAGAAGAATTCTGAGAGGGAGAGATGAGAGGACATATGGGGAATGCCTTCCAATCACGAGCAATCAATCAGTCAGTCCATGGCTGTTTACTATATTAAGGGCATGCTACGTGCTGGGGACAAAAATGAAACAGTTCTTGCCCTAAAAAGGAGTTTCTGATGTAGCTTTAGGAGGTGCCCTGGACCTCTACAGAAAAATATAGAATAGATAAATGATAACTTAGAGGAGGGTGGGCACTAGAGCTGTGGGGATCAGGAAAGGCTTCAGGTACACTTGAGCTTTACCTTGAAAGAAACTACGGGTTCTGAAAAGTGAGGAGGGAGTGCATTCCAGACAGGATGGGCCACAAGGGCAGAAGTGCAGCGATTGAGTACCATGTATCAGCACCATCCTTGTGAGTTCCATGAGAAGGCAGGTTTGGCTAGATTGTAGAATGCATGAAGGATACTATGTAATAAGTGTGGAAAGGTAGGTTGGGTCCAGGTTGTGAAAGATTTTAAATGTGAAGTAGAGTACATATTTGATCCTAGAGGTAATTGGGAGCCATTGGAATGTATTAAGTAGAGGAGTGATATGAACAGGTCTGGCCTTTAGGAAAATTACTACAGTAGCTATGGGGAGGATGGAGTAGAGTAGGGAGGAACTTGAAGCAGAGAATCCAACTTGGGAGGCTGTTACAATAGTCTAGGCAAGAGGTGATGTGGCCTACAACTAGGGTGGGGACTATGGGAGTGGAGAGAAGGTGAAAGACGAGGGATATTGTGGAGGTAGAAATGATAAGATTTGGCAACTGATAGGAGATGTAATATGAGGAAGAATGAAGAGCTAAGAGTCAAGGATGATACCAAAGATGGGACTCTGGGTGAATAGAAAGATAGCATTGCCCTTGACAGTAATAGAGGTATAGAATGAGGCATATTATCATACATGCCCTTTATGTGGAATTGTTTTGATTAAATACATTTATTTACTACAGTTTATTTCTGGAGTAGGGAGAGAGTTATGTGAGAGTGCAGTGGTAATGATGGAGTTGCCAAAAAAAAGGAAGAAAAGAAAGAAAAGAGCATCAATGAAACATTTAAAAAATACTTGTAACAGAAGGAGGTTCAGATGTGGACAGAGAATAATAGGGTAACTTTGGTACTACATGTTAAATTTAATATGGATTTTACTTGTTTGTAATCCAGATTCAAATTCCATACAAAATATTTCTTCTTTATATATGGAGATGTTCATGTTTGATGTTTGTAAAGTTCTGAATTCAAAAAAAGGGAAAAAAGGTAGATTTTTGGGGAAAGAGTCTGAGTTCTACTGGCCAAATATCAGAGGGTACCTCATGGATGTGTTATACTCAGGTGACCAGGAAGAGATGTTGGTAGTTTGATCCTTTAGTCCTCTAAGATGATCAAGTTGAGAGAATGATTTCATTACTTTTTAATGAAAAAGCAAAAAACAAAAAACCAACTAGCCTAACATACATGGAGGTCAGGGGTTTAGGATATTGCTCCCACCACAACAACTTATAGGCTCTGGTGGCAGAGGGTGGGGGGAGGTGAAAGAGAAAGAAAAGTCAAGGTCACTGAAAGGGTAGTGGTGCCTTCAATGGAAATAGAGAAGTTTGGGAAATAGTAAGTTTTAGGGAGGAGAAAATGAGTTCTGCTTTGGATATGTTGAATTTGAGATTCCCGAGACATGTAGTCAGCAGTTTGTAAAGTAGACTTGGAGTTTAGGCAAGATATTAGGGCTGGATGTATAGAATTGTGTGTTACTTAAGGAGAGAAGATACTTGAACCTATGAGAACTGATAAGATCTACAAGAAACCATAGATGTACAGAAAGAAGACCTAGGACAAAGTACCATGAAACACTTATAGAAAGGAGGGCAGGAAATGAATGATGCAATGGCAGTATTGTTTTAAGAACAGCTTTGAGCAACTAAGTCATTTTGACTATTATAAATGCCCAAATTAACTACAAAGGACATATGAAGAAAAACATTATCTGCATCCAGAGAAAGAACTGGTAAATAGAAGTATGTATAGAATGGTTTTACGTGTGTGTGTGTGTGTGTGTGTGTGTGTGTGTGTGTGTGTGTGTAATATTTAAATCTAATGGTAGCCATCTCTAGGGTGGGGATGGGGAGAGAGAGAAGAAAAAAGGAAAAAAAAAGAAAGTTATATGTTAACTTTATTATACATTTAAAAGTAATAGCAAGTTATACATGCTAAATTTGCAGTTTCATCTGCAATCATTTTTTTTCTATTCTGCTGTGTTATGGAAATGTTTGTTTTATTTCTTAAGTTCAGAATTAAAAAAAAGGAATGATGATTCAGGAAAAGAGAAGGAATAGTGAAATAAACAGTCAACAAGCATTTATTATTAAGAGCCTGCTATATTCCAAGGACTATGCTGAATGCTCAAGATACAAAGAGAAAAGTGAAATAGTCCTTGGGGGAGCCAGGAAAGACTTCCCAAAGTTGGTATTGCTTGAGCTGAATCTTGAAGGAAACCGAAGTTACTAGAAGGCAGAAATATGGAAAGAGAGTGTTCCAGGCATAGGGGACATCTAGTGAGAAGGGATGAGGAAAAGAGCTGGAGGTTCATGTGTAAGAAACAGCAGGCAGAACCCTATGGTTCAAAAGTGTGGAGGGGATTAATATCCAAGAAGAATGGAAAGATGTAAAAGGGTCAGATTGTGAAGAGCTTTAAATGCCAAAGCAGAAGTGTTTATATTTGATTATAGAGGTAATAGGGAACCACTGGAGCTCACTGAGTTGGGGCATGACGTGGTTGTATCTCCACTTTGGGAATACTCCTTTTTGGGAAAAAAAAGGATGGATCGAGGAGAGATTTTAGAGAGGAAAACGGAATAGGAGGCTATTGCAATAGTCCAGGTGGAAGGTGATGAACAACAATGATGACTATGTGAGTAGAGAAGGGGGGGGCATATCTGAGCAATGTTAAGGAATTGGAAGCAATAAGATCTGGTAACTGATTGGCTAGGTGGGGTGTATGAGAATGGAGACTAGAGGACCACGCTGAGGTTATGAGCTTGGGTGACTGGTGGTACCCAGGATAGTAATAGGAAAGTTTGGAAGAGAGGTGAGTTTTGAGGGAAAGATACTGAACTCTATTTTGGACATGTTAAATTTGAGATTTGTTTTGGGCATCCAGTTTGAAATGTCTACTGGGTAGTTGAAGATGTGCAACTGAAATGCAGGAGAGAGTCTTAAAAACCCAGAGAAGAGAGTTTCCAGGAAGAGAGAGTCAACAGCCTAAAATATTACAGAGATCAAGAAGTATGAGGGTAGAATAAAGGCCATTAGATTCAGGGGTGGGGAACCTGAGGCCTTGAGGCCACATGTGGCCCTCTAGGTCCTCAAGTGCAGCCCTCTGACTGAATCCAAGCTTCACAGAAAAGTGAAGTCCCCCACCTAGACTAGAGCATAAATTAGGAAGGAGTAAAAGGACTGCCTTGCTGCATTGAGAACCTAGTTGAGACTGGATAACAAAAATTTATAGTTTACCCAGGTGGTGGTTGTGTGATTTCTCTAGCTCCAATCACCAGTACATCTGTAGGAGCAGAGAGGTGGGTGATGGCAGTATTCAGGATTGTGGCTTTGTAAGGCACAGAGTAGAGGTAGGACGAGGGAACAAAGGATTAGAGAGTAGGGCAGGGCTGAACTGATTCAGTAAATAGTCTAGTCCAGGGAGGAGAATGGCAGAACAGGCTGATGGCCTGGAGAAGACCTGAGGTTTGGAGAGATTATGAGCCTTAATGAGGATGAGGAATAGGGTTAGGGGTGTAGTGATGGAAAATCATGATCAGATAAATGCAGGTCAGAGTTTAGAGTTCTTGATCATGGAAGTGGAATATTTGTGTGGGGTATTGCTGAAAGAAACCTTTCAGATCATTATTTTACAGGTGATGAAATTGAGGCCTAAGGAAGTATAATCACTTGTTCAAGCTTACATAGTTTGTTAGAGTCAGAACCAGGACTAGAACCTATGCCACCTAACTCGCTGCTCAGAGTTTTTTCTACCACACCATGCTGCCTGTGTGGCTACCTTTCAGTCGGATGTTTTCTGGTTTTTAGTTTAAAGTCAAGGATAGTTATCCCTTCAGGATTAATGTTGGCCATTTTCCTCTTCTTGAATATTTAACAGTAATATTTTCACAAGTAGCTTTAGTATATGATCTTCCCTTTTTCAGTACTCAATACTATGCTACACATACCTGCTCCCCAACCCTTGTCAGTTTTACGGGTAGATCATATAGTCAGGAAAATTTTTTTAGATTTAGAAGATGCCTTGGAGATCGTCTAATATGGGTCCTTCATCTGACAGATGAGGAAAACTGAGGCCCAGAGATGTTAAGTGGCCATGGTTATAAGTAGTGAGTCATAAATCCAGTATTCAGGCCCAGGTCCTTTGTCTCTAAATCTAGTGCTCTCTTTGCTAATCCATTGCAGCCTTACTTGAATCTTCTGCTACCTATCCTGCTCCAACCTTTCTGCTGACCCCTACTCTCACATATCACATTGCTTTTCAGATATCTGTAACTGAATGTCCAGTAGACATCTTAAACTCAGCATGTCCAAAACAGAACTCAATGTTCTCCCTCCTACCCTCCCTATTACTGTAGAGGGTAACACCATCCTTCTAGTCTTTCAGGCTCACAACCTAGGAGTCATCCTGGATTTCTCACTATCTCTCAACCTGTACCACTCCCCCGCCCCAACCAAGCTGTTGCCAAGGCCTATTGACTTCACCTTTTCAACATGTTTTGAATGTACCTCCTTTTCTTTTCTGACTGCCACCACCCTGGTGCAGGCCATTATCACCTGCACTATTGTAATAGCCTGCTGATAGGTCTGCCTGCTGTCTCCCCACTCCAACCCTTTCTCCATTCAGCCACCAAAGTGATTTTCCTGAAGTCTGATCGTGTTACCTTCCTATTCAATAAACTCCAGTGGCTTCCTCTTACCTCCAGAAGCAAATCCAAAATGCTCTGTTTGGCATTCAAAGCCCTTTATAACCTAGCCCACTCCTACCTTTTTTAGTTTTCTTACACCTTCCTCCGCAATATGTACTCTTCAATCCAGTCACACTGGCCTCCTCATTGTTTCACAAACAAAACATCCAGTCTGGTGGATAGGCATTCTCTCTGGCTGTCCCCCATGCCTGGGATGCTCTGACTACTGACCTCCCTGGCTTCCTTTGAGTCCCAACTAAAATTCTGCCTTCTACAAGAGGTTTTTGCTAACCCCTCTTAATTCCAGTGCTTTCCCTCTTTTAATTATTTCCTGTTTATTTTGCATCTATCTTGCTTTGTATATATTTGTTTGCATATTGTCTCCACCATTAGACTGTAAGCTCCCTAAGGGCAGGGACTGTCATTTGATCCTTTTTGTATTCCCAGTTCTTAGCACATTCCTGGAACATAGGAGGCACTTAATGTTTATTATTTGATTGATTGATTGCTACAAACTGGAACTTGCACAGTTCAGGGCCTGCAGGGCTGCTAGACAGGAGTTTCTTTTGCATTTCCTGTGGGTTGCAGAAAGACATTTCTCTTCCTGGTATTTGCCAAGGTCACAGAGGCAGGCTTCAAAAAGCTCTTGCTTTGTTACTGTTCCTCATTCCATCTAAGTATCGACACTTGTTGCCATATTGTATATTTTTCAATGTCACGCTTCCTTTTTCTGATTCCTCATATTTTTCTAAGTACCTAAGGTACTTACTCTGTTTCCTGCTTTTCAGGTGATGGTGGTAGACGGTAATTCAGGTACAGTCGTTTGGAATTCCAGTCTCTCATGTCACATGAAAGAATCAGCTGCCACTTCAGTGATGACATCAGACCAAAAATCAGTTTTTCTCTTTTGGGCTGAAAACCTGTCAGCAGCCCCATCCAATTCAGTGAGTAAACCTGTGAAAGAGGTTATTTTATTCCTCTTTCCTCTGTCAAAAGGCAGCTAGCTACTCTTCAGAACTATTGACTTAAGAAATTGTTTGGCTTTGCTTTTTTTTTTTTTGGTGAGAAGAGAATACTTTTCAGCTATGAAAAGCAATAATGGGAAGTTAGTGATCAGTCATAAGATTTTTATATGTTGAGAAAGCAGAACCTTCTGTTTCTGGACATGTAGGGGTTTCTTTCATAATCTGAGACCCTTCTCATAGGAAGAAATCAAGCTTTTAACTGTGAAAGGAAATATATCTTAGCCAAATTTCTCCTTTGCCCTCTGCATTAGATGAGCATTAAATGGAAGAGTTAATATTTCTGTTTTTTCCTTTTCCATTTAGGATCTCAACTCAGGAACTGAGCCACCTGTGCTCCATCATCTTTACCTTTTGCATCCAACCTTCCCCACAATCCTCCTGGATCTGGCTAATGACACAAGTGCTGTGAATGCGTCAGCAAGTGAGTTTTCTGATGGTGGGAGTCTACATACAGAGGGTTTGAGAACTATTCAGAGAAGAGTTCTTCTGAGAAGCAGCAATCAGATATGTGAGACTGGGGGTCAGTGGAAAGTTTGGAGAAGGATAGGTAGTGGAAGATTCATATAAGACAGTAATGGATTAGCAGAGAGTGCACAGGATTTAGAATCAACGGACTGGGCCTAAATCCTGGATTTATGGCTCACTACCTATAACAAAACAATGTATAAAAATACATTGTCTGGTTACATATAAAAACTATTCCATCGAACCATCATCCTTAGGACATATGCCTTTGAGTTTTGTTTTTTTTCCACTAACAACGTTGAACTTCACACAGTTATTTGCTTGATTCCTGTGGTGAACAGCAGCATAGAAAGGTGCAAAAAATGCTCGCAACGTTGACCTCTTTAGCATCTGTCTTTAATCTTAAATTCTCAGCGAAAGTATCTATATTCATAGAAGTTAGGGCAAGTAAGTTGAGGATTCTTCAGGATAAACATCACAGGATAAGTGGTTCTTAGAGAATTTTTAAAAGAAGAAGGGATTTATAGAGGAAAAAGATGTTAACTGGATGTTGGGCCTGTTCTAGTCTTCATCATCTCAGGATGAATGGGAATTCAGTTCACTAAAGTCATGGAAAGCTAGCCACTGTCATCTGTTGGACTGGGATTCTTCATCATCCTGTTATCTTTCATGGCATTAGCTCTGAGGAATCTTCATACCTGGGATGTAACCAGATCGGCCAAGTTCCCTTCCCTATCCTTCTCTACACCTTCTTGCCTTCTGGAAGGCAGACTTTCCATTTACAGATCCAAGTGTTTCCTCTGAGGTTGAAGCCAACGCTAGTGATTGTGGCTTTGTTGGAATGTCCTGGCTTCTGTTGCCACTCTTCTGGTCTTCTGACATAGGCAAATGCTTCTTTGCACTAAGCAGAAGGCAATATGCTGTTCACAGAGGAGATGTCTATTGTTTTATGTTGTCTTTCAATATTTTTAAGTGCCTCATGCTGGTAAAATTCTTTTATATAATATAAATGAACTAATTTTCAACATGTCACCATCAAGCATATTAAAAGCACCCAGAAATACTAATAATAATAATGATAATTAAAAGTCATGTTTATATTACAATGCTTGTTTTAAAGGTGAGGCACATTAAATAATAACTGGATAAGTGTTAGGTTGCCAATCCAACATTACAATATTCAGCCTTTCTAATCTATTTCTTGGTTCATTTCTCTACCAGTTCCTTCTTCTAATTGTTGGCACAAATAATAATAATAATAATAATAAAACAATAATAACATATGTTTATATATCACCTCAAGGTTTACAACAAACTTAATACACATTGTCTCATTTGATTCTCACAACAACCCTGTGAAGTTGGTAGTGAAGGTTTTATTATTTCCATTTTACCTATGAGGAAACTGAGTCTCAGAGAGGTAGAGACTTTCCCAAGATGATGCAACTAATAAGTGGTCAAGTAAGGATTTAAACCAGGACTTCTTACTGTCTATCCAGTGATCTTTTCCTACTAAACCATAGTTACCTTACTAATTCCCATATTGTACCTTATAAGGCCCCTCAAAAACTTGTGTTCTGCTTTCCACATTAACAATTGCTATACAAGATGACTTTCCTTATAAAGAAGGAGCATATTTCCTTATGTTAACTGTTATTTCCTTTGTTTTTCCACAGTTGGAATTAATGATGTCTGGAAAGATGCTTTCTATGTTACCAGGAAAACAGGGCCTGGGTCTGAAAACCATCTGAGACCTCTAGTTGTCAGCAAGGTGAACTTAAGGTGGGCCCTGATGGAGAGCCAGGTTGTTGTGCTAAAGGAGACCACTCCCAAAATTGGCCGGGGAGAACTTAGAAGATTCCTTTCTAGGCTAAAGTTTATTTCTTCTCAGAAGGTAAGTAGATCCCTTGTTTAAGAAATGTTTGATAAATTTTGGGGTTTAGTTTCAATTCCTAACTTGATCATCAGAACCATGAAATCATAGAATCTCAGAGGACCTTGGAAAGGACCTTGGAAGTTATCTAGCCCAACCTATACCTGAACAGGAACCTTCCCCAACAAGTAATCATCTATCCCCCCATGAGGATATCCAATGATGAGGAACTCATTACCTCCTGAAGCAATCCATTTTACTTTAGGACAGCTCTTTTATAAGAGAAAAAGAATGTTGGAAGAGAACTTTATTGAGGTAGTAGCAAGAGTGCTGGACTTGGAGTCAGGAGAGCATTGGGTTCAGATCCTCCACCTGTTGCTTACCAACTGTGTGACTATAGGCCATCACTTTACCTCTCTGAGACTCCATTTTCTTATCTATTATATGGGGATAACGATGCCTATAATACTTGCCTTATAGAATTGTTGTGAGGATGAGATGAGCTTTACCAATAATGTCTAGCACAGCGGTGGGAAACCTGCGGCCTTGGGGCCATATGTGGCCCTCTAGGTCCTCAAGTGCAACCCTTTGACTGAATCTAAACTTTACAGAACAAAGCCCCTTAATTAAAAAAAAAAACTGCAAAACTTGGACTTGATCAAAAGGCTACACCCAAGGACTGGTGTCCTTTTGCTTGACTCTAGCTAGAACTTTGCACTCTTACTGTGCTATGGAAATTCTTGATATTATTATAATTGAATATCTATATGCTTAGAGTGAAGTTCTTTGTGGTTAGCCTGGTTTCCTAGAAGATTCTGTGACCCCTGAAGAAGCTCAGTAGCAGATTAGTAAGGAAAAAAGAAAGTCTTATAGAAGGACAGCCATAGACTTAAGGGTATGAAAAAGGAAGAAAATTGTAAATGTTGAATACCTGGGAAAAAAGGATTTCTATTTAGAGGTCTAGTGGCTAGGTAGAGTATTGGGCTTAGAGTCAGGAAGACTTATGTTGAGATACTTCTTCACATACCAGCTGTGTGATCTTGGACAAATCATTTATCTCTCTGAGCCTCAGTTTCTTGATCTGTAAAATGGGGATAATAATAGTATCTACCTTACCACAGTGTTGTCGAGGACCAAATGAGATAATGCACGTAAAATACTTTGTAAACCTTAAAGGTCTATAGAAGTGTGAGCCATTGTTGTTATTACTTTAATTACTCTGAAAGTTTCCATCTTAAAACAAAACTCAAATAAGACATATGTTTATGTTTTCCCCTAGGTCTAGTCTGAAGGTACCTCGGATTTCAGATGGGACTAATGAGGACCCTCTCTTTAGCCTAGAATCTTCTCAGTTAAGTCTGTAAAATCAGGTATATGGAGAAAGCAAAAGGAAGCTTCTTTCCCCACATTGTCTTGCCACCTCTGTATAATTAACGCAAAGCACTTTGGAAAGCAGGCTGTTACTACTTCATAACAATCCTACCTGTTTGGTAATGGTATGTTTAACTTCCCTTCTTTACTTTCATATCAAGACCATCCACAAGCTTTCTGTGGGTTGTTTAAAAATGTGTGTGTGTGTGTGTGTGTGTGTGTGTGTGTGTGTGTGTGTGTGTGAGAGAGAGAGAGAGAGAGAGAGAGAGAATATGCATAATTTATAAGCAAATGCTGAGAAGTGTCCAAGAAGTACTTATATCCAGGAAACGTTTTTTGCTTTGTGTTACTTTATGGGTTTTGAAGTGTGGAGTGTTTACTAGATATATTTCATACCCATTTCCTTACACATGTGAAACATATCTGGGCCATTTGGTCATCTCTACTCCTCTAAATTTCCTACCTCTTATCTTAGGGTCACCATTTTTCGACCTTTCACTTCCTTCTTATCCAGGTCAATCTTGAACTATCTCATTTGTCAATCATTGGCACCAATTTAAAACAATATGAGAAGACTGACTATTCTTATCCCTTTGATCCTTTGTTTCTAACCTCCCATCCAGATGCCCAGAGGCTATGGGAAGAGCTATATTACTATCACAAGTATAGTAAGAGAAATAAGTTCAAATGAATTATCTCTGATAAAGCCCCATATTATTTTGGTTTTCAGTGTGTTAGGGATGATCCACTGTTTCTGCTGTGATGTCAGGATTAAGCAGAGCATTCCTACTGCTCACGAAAACAGTTGAGGTTCATATTCTTTTTCCCACTTTACACCGACTTTTCATAATGATTGGTACACTTCCCTCGTGGAGCCCTCTTCCTACAACTTCTTGCATTTTTTATTATTGAAGAATATTTTTGCTTCGTTGTACAGAATTCTTATGGAGGAAAAGCTATTCCTGAGCCCTTCCTTTAAAACCCTGAGCCTTGATATATAGTTAATCTGTCCAACTGACCCTATTCCTTGTAGAGCCATGGAACAGCTTGTATACATTTCGTGGTGTTCTTGTATAAATATTGTAACTTTGTAAATAGCAAGTTCATTGGTGTAGTCTGTAGTTTTTAGTCCCCTTCCTCTATTCTTTTCTTAATAGGAATGGATTCTTGTAAGCTATCTTCTAATAGTGATTATTTATTGGGCTGAGCCTCTCAGTTGATGATATGTCATAAGAAATCCAAGTCAGGAGCAGGTAGGAGGATTGTTCTCTCCCTTGAGCTACTTTATGATGTGTTTTCACTGAAACTTTCAGTAGTGCTCCCTTATGCTAGTTTTAGAGATTTCATTGATAACATTGCTAAATTTGAAAGGGCGTGTGTGCCATTTTCCCAATGAAAGTCATATGACATAATATTAAAAGGTTAATCACTGTCAATGTTCAGCATATGCTGCTTGAAATACAGCCAGTCTAGGTACCTGACCCCATACCTGTGAAGACAGAGTCAGTTCTAGCATAGCTTCTGTCTGAATCCCAGTTTGGCACAGATGAAGGAATAAAAAATGTCAAGTTGGATCTAGGAATATCCCAGTAGGAAAAGATGGTCCCAGGTCATCTGGAATTTGGATCAATTTTGAAGGATGTGGTGGTGCTAGGCCCTGTTTTGATTGAGGATCCTTCTGTGCTTTAAATAGACCCAGTTGTTGGAGGGAGTTCCAAAGTCTAATCTGGGCCAAACTGAATGTCATGCTCTGTAGTGGTCTCCATGACAAGGGTGTTCCCTATCATACACCACTGAGATCTGAGCATTTCATATTTCTCCAGTATACCCAGACTTTCAGACTGGCTACCCATATTTAGGCAGAAATATGTGGTACATTTGTTCATAACATATGTGTTTTGGAGATCATTTTTAGCAGACAGTCAGGCTCCTTTTTTTGGTTAAGTCACAGAAATATAAAATAAAAGAGCTGGAAAGAATGTTTTGTGTGAATTCAAGGTGATGTGCTTGCCTACCACCTTAAGGGTTCAATTTTGGCTATACTTGATAGGACTCTTTCCCCTGTTCTCTTCCCTAAACCATTTAAGAGATAATGAGTTGTGATGGAAGGTTGACATCTGGACAGTTTGGGTACTAACCCATGTTCATATGTATTTAAACCTCCCTCTTCTCTCAGGGAACCATTAACTGGATGAATGAGCATTAGTCTGTACTGTAAGCATTCCTTTCTTTTCTCTACTCCTCACATTGGGTCCCTGTAATAGCTCAAACAACTACTAGAAGCAGTAATAATACCTTTTGCATCTTACTGCAAATGAAATTGACCCCTCTGTACTCTGTCCTGTCTTTGCTTTCCTCTTTAATCAATCTATGAGGGATCTTTCTTTAATTTTATTATTCTGTGGTATTGTTACATCAATTCCCATAAATGTGAACTGTTGTCTACATCTTCTGTGTAAAAGAAACACCACTCTGTGAACTGTCAGAAAAGCATTTGAAATACAAGATAGAACAAATAAACACCATGTACAGGATAATTTGTGTGTGCCACTATTCATTTTTCTTAGCTATGAATGATGGTTTATGGTCACTGATATATAAGATAAAGAGCAACTAAGTGATTTCATGGAATTATTTTATGGACAAATAAGTAAGAGGAAAGTCATTGGAAGGAGCAAGGAGAAGGAAAATAATAGGATTTAGAGATGGGACAAGAATGAAAGTGTATCCCTTGACTCCTCCCAATGGTCTTGAACCAGAATTTTGTTTTATTGAGCACCTAACAAGGGAAAGGTACAATGCTAAACACCATGGAGAATACAAAGAAAACTGAGATGTCACATGTGACACCAAATCCCTTTATGATGTCTTCTGTTTTCATCTCACGCTAGCCAGGATGACTCTAGTATACTTGACTATACGAGAAGTGCTAAAAATTCAGATGCTAACCACAATCACATTGACAGTTTCTAATTCTCCCAACCCCAGACAGGCTAAATGAAGTAGAAAATAGACCCTTGTTACATAGTAGGGAATGGTGAGATGGGAATACGAGGCATCTGGAGGGATTTGGGAAGCTTTGGGGACTTGTGCTGACAGACAGCCTTGCTCTCAGGGTCCAAAATCCATGCTTAAAAAGGAATTTTGGAGTTGTGCACATATTCTCAGTAGCTATGGAAGGCAGGACTTATCCTCTTCACCCCCTTCCTCCTGATTCTCTCCTGCCCCTCCCATTGCAGTCCTAACATTGCTCATCCTCCACTAATGATTCAATCACTTCACATAATTCCATCCTAGGCTCTTGTGAAAGCACGTTCTCCTGTAGCTCTGAGCAAAAATCAGCCTCTCCAGAGACCGAGTGGACAGACTGGTTTTTTTCCTGGTAATAACCGCTCAGTCGATCCGTGGAGTGGGTTGGAGTCAGTGGCTGCCGCTGCTGTTGCCGCCGCTGTTGCTGTTGCTGCAGCAGAAGGCATGGGTAGTGTAGTGATGGTGAGTGACTCATGTTCTGTTTGAAGGATTTGTAATGGCTGCATTTAAATTCCAATACCATCTTGGTGTAGGTGTTGAGGGTTGTTATGGCTGACATCATGCAACAGGTGAAAGAAACCCAGGCCATGCTACATATGAAGGAACAGAAGAATTAGACAATGAGAACCTGACTTTCTTCTCCCATGTGATTTGAGGTTGAATCTATAAGAGTAAGAGGGCTTCCTCTTTTCTTGCATGTGATAACAGGAAGGTATATTTTAGGGAATTAGGGTGGAGACATAGTGTAATGCGGTTTCTGTGGGCAAAGGTTTAGAGTTATCACAGCTTTATCCACTTCTCTCATGTCTTTTGATAAGTGTTTTAAGTACACACGAAAAAGTCTGGTATCTTCCCATATTCTGAGTGCCAGGAATTTTCTGTTTCTTCCCCAGTTCCTATCTTTTGGCATTGTACCTGAGGAACCCTATCTCCTATGTCTTCCTCTGTCTGGAATCTATACAATCTAAGAATCATAACTTTGGGAGATAAGTTCTCCAATGAAAGGCAAATGTATGTTCATTCAGAACTATACCCCTCTTCTCTCCCTAAACTCTCCAGAGTTCTGAACAGCCCAAGGACAGACAATTTTGTGAGTTTGGGGAAAGGATCAAAAGATGCTTTTTGTGCTCTGCCTCTAACAACCAGAATGAAGCTTGGTTTGCTCTTGCTGTCCAAGAGCAAACTCAGCCTTATTCTGCTTACTTTGCTTAGGGAGCTAGTGACCAAAGCTAAGAAATACCCCAATGCTGTGGATTGTAAGGGAATACTGTGGGTACCCAAGAGAGTTTGGTAAGAACAACCATGACTGTATAGTAGCAGGTGAAGATTTCTCAAGGGAGAAATTCCAAGACCAAGAACTCTTGAATCTACTATATAAAGTAGCAAGTGTCAGGAGCAGGTCAGGTGTCAGATAATTACTATTTAACAAATGTAGAAAAAACAAAAAACCACCCAAAATACTCTTACTCTATAGGCTTATGATTGTCTTCTTAGAATGGTAATTCCTTGAGGTCCAGTATCATGTTTTTATAGTATAACTGAAATGTACTTGGAACTCTATGAACATTTAATAAATGACAATACTTTAGAGAAGGGGTTTTTAACCTAGTGTCTATTGACCCTGTGGGGATCTGTGTATAGATTTCAGGGAGTATGTGAACTTGGATGGGAAAAAATTACATTTTCTTTTCACTAACCTTTAATTGAAATCTAGCATTTTTTTATTATGAACATATGCAACAAAAGTTATTCTGATAAGGGGTTTTGAGACTTTGCCAGACTTCTCAAAGGAGTTCATGACATGAAAAAAAGGTAATGACTAGTATTTTAGATAATGGTTAGTAATTAGATTAGGAAAATAGAAAATGTTCAGATATCTCATTAAAAAAGTGAAATCATTTTGAAGGAAGAGAAGATTCTGGTTTTCCCTTCTCTCATTTTTTTTTGGGGGGGGGGAATCTAAGATAAATAACATTATTCTCTTTTAAATTGACACCATGATTATGAGGTGGTTTATGGGGCAAATTATAGGATTTTGTAGGAAGGAATGGAAGTGTATGACTTCCCATATGTGGAAGAGTGAGCCATTCATAGGCCTAGGAATTAAACTCCGCTGTTTTGTGCTCAGATACCAAAGGATCATAGATTTAGAGCTAAATAGGACCTTAGAAGTTATCAAGTTTAACTTCTTTCATTTTACAGTGAGACCCAGAGAGGTGAGGCAAGTTGTCAAAAAGTCACAAAAGGTCATAAGCTGGGCTTTGAAACCAGATCTTTTGATTCCAAATCAAGCATCCTTTCCATTGCTTCATGGCACCTCTCACCAACAAGATGTTATCCATTCTCTCCCTAAACACCTAGAAATAGATGTATTTTTTCAAGTAAGTAAGACTGATTTCTGTAAACCACACAAAAACATCAGTCTCATTGTCTTAGTCATAGCTCTCATTTCTCATGGACAACTTGGACACAAAATGGAGAGGCACTTGAATGGTGATACAGTTGATATAGCTCTATGAAGCTATGGAAGATTATGCCATTATTAGTAGGACCACTGAACTGGGCGAAGTACTTGGGAAAAAAAAACCAGGGGAAGCACATCTTTACTTGCTGAGGGAGTGGTGAATTGGATGTCACCTAATAGGCCCTTTTCAGTTGGCTGCAATCCTTTTTGGGTTTTAGTCTTGGGTCCAGTTCTCTAAATTTGACAGTGACAGTGGATGAGGGATAAGGTGAAGGCCGAGGGATAATAGAAGAACATCTTACAACAAGTTTTTGGGAGGTGATCTAGCAGATTTGGACTAGAGAAAAACTAAAGAGGATATGACTAAGGGTGTGTGTGTGTGTGTGTGTGTGTGTGTGTGTGTGTGTGTATGTGTGTGTGACAAGAACCTTTTGGTGGACATACTAGAAGGCCCAGCCGTAATCCCAAGTATGTGGTCTCCAGTCTTCTGGTCCCAAGTTGGCAGTTGCCTGGAAAACTTGTGAGTACATCATGTGTGCCACCATCCCCAAAAGGCCTACAGAGGGAATAAGAAAGCAGAGTCTGTTACTATGTCTTATTATTCCCTAAATTTTTGGTAGCAAGTCTTCCCACTTTGAAGGAAATGCTCAATTTCAAGGATCATAACTTAAGAAACTACAGATCCTTGGGGAGTGGGGTGGGGCAGAAGGTGTAAAGATGCAAGAGTTCCATGGCATTTGTCCTGACAAATGATGAAACAACTGCATCCCATAAAATTAAAAACTATTGTGAAAAGTGGTTGAAGGGCCAAGAGCTCTACGTTGATTAGTCAGAAAGTTAATAAACATTTATTAAGTACATGCTGTATGCTAGGCACTGTACTAAGTACTGGGGATACAAAGAAAGGCAAAACATAGAGTCTATTCTCAAGGAGCTCATAGTCAATGGTTATAAACTGTTTGGACATAATACCTAGAATTTTAGGTCCAAAGTCTTTGAAAGTGTCTTTTTTCATTGCTATATCTTTAGTCCAACAGTCCTATTTTCTTGCTTTTCCCTTTCTCCCTCCCCTGGGTTTTTCTATCTACTTTCTCTTCCTTCTTGGATAATTTTTTTCCTGGACTTGTGTGTGTATATCTTTCAATATATTTAGTACATCCCTGAAAAGTTGTGGAAGCATCAAATGCTATTTTAAATGCACTAGAAAAACTTTAAATTCAGAGGACCCGGTGGCAAATAAATCCTTATGAAAAGCAAAGAGGTTTTAGAAAATATAAATTAACTTATTTCACATATATGATTTAAAAAAAGACATATAGGGACTTATATGAGTTGATGAAGAATGAAGTGAGAAAAATTAGGAAAACAATTTATGTAATAATAACGCTATAAAACCAGCTTTGAAATACTTAAGAACTCTAATCAATGCAGTTACCAACTATAATTCCAGAAGATTGATGATAAAACACGCTACCCACCTCAGGTGATGAACACAGGGTACAGAATGAGACATGTTTTTTGGACATGGCCAATTTGAGAATTTGTTTCACTTGTCTATGCATATTTGTTATAAAGATTTTCTTTTTCTTTTTTTAATAGTAGGGGAAGGGAAAGATATGTTTGTTCATTGAAATAAATAAAATTATTTTAAAACAACATGTGGAATAGTATCTGTAATTCATTTTCACCTTTCAACTAATGCATTCTGACATATTGATAACAAACTAGGATTCATTACTAATAGGTTTGCACCAAGAGTCATTTCCAAATGGGTGAATATTCCAAGGATATTAACAAACAGTTCTCAAATGAATTGCAAACTATTAACAAGTTTTTGAAATATTGCTCTGAATCACTCATAACAAGGGTCAAAACAACTCAGGTTTGTTTTACCCCACACCTTAAAAACTAGGAAAAATGACAGAAGGTGGGAATAGTCAATATTGGAAGGATTGTAAAATGATATGCACACTAATACATTGTTGGTGGAACTAAGTCATCCTGGAAAGCAATTTGGAATCATGCTAAGAAAGTCACTAAAATGTTCATACCCCTTAACACTGAGATGCCTCTGCTAGGCATGTAACCCAAGGAGGGCAACACTACTTTTTGTTACAGTAAAGAACTGGAAACAAAGTCTGTGTGTATTGAGGGGGGAAAGGGGGAAAGGGGAATAGCTAAATTAATTGTGATACATGCATGGCACTCTTACTGTGCCATAAGACAAAGTGAATATGAAGAATGCCTCTGTATTCAAAGAATCAAAGAAATAATTTTATGAACTGATGAAAAGTGAAGTAAGTAATACTAGGAAAACATTATGTATAATAACTATAATGTAAATGGAAAGAACAACAAAAACAAGAACAGTATGTTGTGTAATTATAATCACTCTTAGCCTCAAAGAAGACAGGAGAAAAAACACTTCCCTCCCTTCTTTTCAGAGGAGGGTGACTATGGATGTGGAATATTACATGTATTGTTAGATGGGTTGGTCATTTTTGGTTAACTGCTCTTTTTTTCTTTAGCTTTATTCTTTTTTTTTACAGCAGATGGCTATCTGGATAATGAAGGGGGAAGGGATGTATTTGGAAATCAGTGGAAAAACAAAAGATTAATAAAGATTTTTTAAATGTCAGATCATACCAGATTAACATAATTTCCATTTTTGATGGGATTGCTAGACAGATAGATTAGAAAAATACTAGGAACATAGTTCACCTGGTTTTTAATAAAATATTTGGCAAGACCTTATGAATGTTATACTTGTGGAAAATATGGGGAGAGATGTACAAAACAGTAATACAGTTGGGTAGTTTTGGAACTTGTTGAATGACAACACCCCGAAAGTAGTTGTCTACTTGGGAGGAGGTCTTTAGAGGAGTGCTACACGGATCTGATTATGCTGTTTAATATTTCTATTAATGACTTGGCTAAATACAAAGATGGTATGGTTTTTCAGATTTGTAGGTATCAAAAAGCTGTCAGATTGGATGACCAAGCCATGATCTAAAGAGGTCTTGACAGATAGAAGTGCACCTATTTGAGCAAGTGCAATAAGGTGAAATAAATGTAAAATATTACACTGGAGTTTTTAAAAATCAGCTTTACAACTATAAGATTAGAACATGGCTAAACATCAGTTCATCTAAAAATATTTGGGGATCTTGTGGACTATAACCTTAATAGAAGGAAAAGATGATTTATTTTTGGTGGGGAGGGAAAGCTAATTCAGGACCTGTGATTTCATCAGTGAAGGAAACTCCACTGATACAGATGTGCTACTCTTCTGTAATTTATAGAGTGTTGCCTGGAGGTACTGAAAAGTTAGATGATGTACCCATGGTCACATAGGTACTTTGTGCTGGACTTAAATCTAGCTTTTCCTGATGCCAAGATTGGTCCTCTACCCACACCAACCCATCTCTCATAGCAATGTGATATGGCAGGCAAAAAACTGACAAAACCTTAGGTTGCATTGAGAAGTATCATTTTCAGGACTAGGGGAGGTGTTAATCCCTCATTACTCTGCCCTGTATTTAATTCTGAGGACCATATTTTAGAAAGGACATTGGTAAGTTGGAGAATATCAAGAGGACAGCAGTCAGTGTGGCAATGGACCTCAAGATTAATACCATATAAGGATCACTTAATGGACTATGGCAATATTTAGCCAGAAGACAAGAAGATTTATGGAAAACAGGATAGCTGTCTTCAAATATTTGAAGGGCTGTGAAGAAAAGGAATTAGGTTCTATTTGGTCCCAGAGGGCAGAAGCAATGGGTGAAAGTTTCAAAAAATCAGAAGCTTAATAGGAGGGAGGGAGGGAGAGAAGGAAGAAAGGGAACAGAGAAAAGGGGGTAGTGTCTTATTTTAGAAGGTAGTTATTTGTGGCAGAAGAACATGGCAGGCTTTGTACTTGCCTAAGTGACTTGATGGGAGATCCTGTACCTCCTGGTTACTTTCTGTCTTTTTCTCTCCTTTACTAAGGCCTAATAATAGACTTTCCTAACCTAATTGATAGAATTAACTAGGGCAGTGATAAAGTCCCTCCAGAAACACACAGCAGAAACAGATATGTGCTTGCTTACTCGCCTAAAAGGGCATATCATGGACATTGTTCCTGAACTCCAACCTCGTGTGTAGAGGAAGGGAATTTCCTAAGCACTGTTATCTTTGGAATTTAACAAAGAAGAGAAATTTCTTGGGCAGTGCCCTAAAACTAACCCTAAGTTCAAGAGTTAAGGGGATTGATTTCGGGAGAAGGAATTCCTAATTTCTTGGAGAAAGTAGATTAACCACATGATCCCTGCAACTGAATGGGCAGCAAGGTTAAAGCTATGCTATAGGGGAACAAGGTATCTACTTTGCCACTCCGAGATATTTTGTAGTAAATTATTTGGGCTGTGTAGATATGAAGGAAGAGGTTACCTCTCCAGTAGCTACAAAATATACTTGTTTTCTGGGTAGTCTAAGCCATAAGGGGCACTAAGAGACTAGGAGGGACTGTTACTCCTAAGGATTCACCAGGATGTTGGAATGTTGCCTCACTGGCAACTCTGAGTTCAGTTCCTTCTGAGGGGACTGTTTTATATATTTTATTTATCTGTTTATGGGACTCTGGTATGTCCTTTCTGTATTTTCTGTGGGGTGGTATTATTAGTCATCCTATGCACAATATACATTCATTACTTGGGTGCTTGTAAAGGAGCAGAGGATCCTTTAACTCACTTCTGTGAAAATCTAGACACAAACTGTATTTGAAGATTTCCCAGAGTAAACTTCAGGTTCAGTCATAGTAAGCCAAAGAGAAAATGACCCTTTTGGATTAAGCACTGAGATCATAACTGTTTCAAGTGAGTCCAGAACCTAGAGATTTGAGGCACTTATATTTGTATATCAGGCAATTTTTGCATATATTTGAAATTGATTTACCTGTGTCCTTGTTTGCCACCATATAAGATTCTTTAAGTCAGGCATTGTTTTGTTTTTGTCTTTGTGTCTCCAGCGTCTAACACAATGCTTTACACGTAGTAGACACTTAGCAAATGTTTATTAGGGGAATGAGTTAGTGACCAGTGAGTTTCCAATAGAGATCTTCAAGCAAAGGCTGGATGGCCACTTGTTGATGATATTGTAGAGGAGATTCTTGTACATGCATGGGTTGGACTGGGTAACCCTTGAGCTTCCCTCCAGGTCTGAGGGGTTTGTGATTCTATGCCCCCTAGGGAGACACTCACCTGATAAGACTGAGGACATAGCAGCAAAGGCATTAAGCTTAAGTCCACAGCCAGGGTTTCCAGGGAATAATAATTCCAGTAGCAGTAGGAGGAGGCTGATGGATAGCAGACTGATGTAGACAATCTCTGACCCCAGGGATAACCAAAGTATTCCTGCCAGAAAACGGAGAAAGAAGGCACCCTCATTATGTCAAAACCAAACAGTAAACCGAAACACCAATTGGGAAAAAATAGGATGTACATACAAGATTTACTATGAACTAAAGGTTAGTGAGCAAAATAGCAGAGGTGATATGAGACCAAGGAAATCAGGAAAGTCTGATCTCATCCGACATGTGCAATTTCCCTTTCCTTGAGATTCTCTTACAGGATAGCTTTGTCTACTCTGCACACAATGAGTATTTCATAAATGTTGATGACTAATTGAATTTATAAACTGCAAGGGAGGTTCCTAGAAAGTCATTCTATTCTCATCTAATCGTTTATAGATGGAACTTTTCCCATTACCAGCCTCAGAGAAAATGTCACCTCCCACACCCTCCTCCCCTTCCCACTTTGTTTGCTTCTTTAATAAATGGTTACAATAATGGAACCATTGGGGAAGGATGGTGGGGAGAGTATGCAGCTTGGTGAATTAACAATAATAATCATAATAACAACAACAATTTGTTGTTGTTCAGTTTTAGTCATGTCCAACTTTTTGTGACTCCATATGGGGTTTACTGGGCAAAGATGCTGGAGTAGTTTGCCATTTCCTTCTTCACCTCATTTTACAGATGAGGAAACTGAGGCAAACAGAGTTAAGTGACTTGCCCAGGGTCACACAGCTAGTGTCTGAGGCTAGATTTGAACTCACATCTTCCTCACTCCAGGACCCACACTCTATGCCACCTAACTGCCCTAACAACAACAATAACTAATGTTTAATTTGAAGTGCTTTAAGATTAGTAAATTGGTTTACATATAAATGCAAATATAAATAATACACATAAATGTAAATAAAAACATATTCATTTGAAAGAAGAAAAGTAAAAGTAGTAGCTACAACAGAGCAGGTTAGGGAATGGCTGAGATTTGGTACACAGAGAGTGAGACAGAGGTCTTAACTTTTCTCAGATCGCTAGGATTTTGATCAAAGCTAATGTGCTCTAAGATGAGTTAGGGCAGAGAATTTCAAAATTTTGATTATTACTCACTTTACCAAAGTTGAGTTTATTTTTTGCCCCTTGGGCTAAGACCATGGTGTCTAGGCAGCTATGGTAATCTGCTGAAGGGGATGGGTACATGTGAGCCACAGTTACCTTCTGTTTTTGTTTTCTCCTTGAGTAGGCCAAGTAGAAGGGGATAGTGACTGAGGAGGACCTCTGCCCCTGAGGCAATAGGAAGATATGGCCTGGAAAGGGGGACCATATCCCTCAATTACAAAGTCAGAGCAAGGAAGCAAGTTCTCGCCTTTTGCTTTAACTTTCTATCTTAGACCTTTAGACCTTGCCAGACAGTGGCATACCACTAGTTATAAGGTAAAAAAGAATGGCTTCCTGTATGGTCAATGGCTAGTGTTATAGAGAAAAGGCCTCTGAGCCTCCTTGAAAGATCCCCTGCCTTCAACCTCAGCCAATAGGTGCAAGTAGAGAGAGTTGTGTGACTGTGTGTCACTCTATCCTTGGGCCTCACACAGTTCACAGCAGAGAGTCATGGGTTGTGTCTGGAGGGAAGTCACTTATCAGCTATTCATCAAGGTTACATGATCCAAGCTGATAATCAACATTTGGATCATTCAGGCTTCCAAATATCCCTTTTGCATCCTGAATTATCCGAAACTTGGCTGTCTAATTACTCACTGAGTCAACCAGTCTCAGTGAGAGATTTGGGGTTTTAAAGTTCTGAAAGACAGCTGTTGGCATGACTCAAATGTGGAAGTAGAAATAAAGTTGGGCTGAAGCTCTTGTGTGAACTGTTTTTGATTAACTGATTGGCCTTGGCCAAATTACTTCACCAGCTTGGCCCTAAAATTCCTCACTTGCAAATTCAGAGGGTTGAGTTAGATAATTTCTAAGGTCTTTTCCAGCTCTAAAGTGTGAAGCTTCTGGGAATTGGGAAGTTCAAATTAATTCAATAAATATTTATTAAGTGCCTACTATGTACCAGTCACTATGCTAAGTGCTGGGGATACAAAAAGAGGCAAAAGACAGTCCCTGCTCTCAAGGAGCTTACAATTGAATGGGGGAGACAACATTCTGACAAATATATACAAGCAAACTATATACAGGATAAATAGGAAATAAGAGAGTGAAGGCATAGAAATTAAGAGATGTTAGGGAGTTTCCTGTAGAAAACAAGACTTTAGTTGGAACTTAAAGGAAGCCAGTTGCCCAATCTCTATTTTGATCTAGGTGGCCAAAAGTAAACAACAGCAACAACTCTTAGCTTGAGAAACCAAGGCAGCTGCTCAGCATATCTTCTCCTTCAATTGTTCTCAAAAAGTGTTATGTAACAAAGAGGAGGCTGAGATCCTTGTGGTTGGGTTACCTCTGGAAGCTCAGAAAGTCACTCATTTAAGTCCAACCCTCAGGAACAGTCTGAAGGAGACTGAGTTTGTCTCTTGGTGGTCAAGAGACCTCCCTTTTCAACCCCCTTAAAATAGCTCTCTGTCCTCTTCCGGCACTCATCTTCTCTTACTGCTACTTAAGGATGCTGTATCCAATGTGGTCCGGTACCCAGAGTCTATCCCTTTCACCTTTCCCACCTGCATTTACTCATTCTATCAAGGCCTTGAGAGATGACAGTATTCCTAATATTTAACGAATCAATTAAAAGGAAAGTGTTGATCCTTTAATATCTTACTCCTCCCACTGTTATACACATTAAAGAAGTAAGTTTCATTTGGGTTCAATGCTTTAACCCAAAAGGAATTTTAGATACTCTAGTAAGGGGAAAAGTGGAGGGGATAGGACATATTTTGGACAAGAGTTTCTTTTCCTGCCCCTCACATTGTACCAGCAGTCAACAACACATTCTGCCCACTGAAAGGCAGGCTCCTTTATGCTCCATCTTCCAGAGCATATCAAGACACCCTCATACCTCTTTCTACTGGTGGTGTGAGTTCAATGAAACTGCGGCACTTCTCTCCTGAAACAGACAATAAATACACATAGAAACGCAGAGATGACATTATGGGGAAGTGGAGGAAACCACACTTCCTTCATTCATTTTTTTCCTACTACCTAAGCTGCTTTATATTTCTAAAGGTGCTGCCTTAAAGATATGGAGAACAAAATTAGCTCATTAGCGTCACCATCATTATTATTAATGTAGTGGAGGTTGGATTGGAGCCTACTCCATGGAGTATGCTTGGGAATGGGCCTGAGGGGTGGGTGGGGGCATCCAGTGGGGTATATTTGAAGTTGAGCCTGCTCCCCCACCATTTTCAGTGACACAGGTTGAGAATTGGAAAGGATTTTAAAGGTGAACTACCCCAACTTCTTTATGTTATAGATGGAGAAACTGAGACCTAGAGAGATCAACTGACTAAATCATAAAGCTAGAGGAAGGAGACAGGGACAGAAACCAGGTTGCTTATTTCCCATTGCACGGTTCTTTTCACTATAGAGTGCTGCCTTCTCTTTCTTCTTACTACTTTTATTCTAAGAAAGCAAGACTTCTTAACTTGGGATCAATAAACTTGTTCTATCTATCTATCTATCTATCTATCTATCTATTATCTATTTATCTGTCTATGCACATATGTACACATATGAAAACTATTTTTAATATAATTAATTTCCTTTTTAATCCTATGTATTTTATTTTGTGCATTTAAAAAATTATCCTGAGAAGGGGTCCATAAGCTTTACCAGACTGCAAAAGGGATCCTTGACATAAAAAAGATCAAGCAACCCCACTGTAGCACAAATGATTTCTGTGTAGAAATTATTTTAAAATGTGAGTAGTAAGGGAAATTCTTAAAGGTAATAATTTTTTCCCCATTTATACTCTCTACTGAATATCTCAGGAATGAAAAGTCGATGAAGAATACTGGTTTTTGATCTTTTAGGATGTAATGGATAGAATTCTGGCTTAGTTGTCAGGATAGCCTGGTTCTAGCCCTGGCTCAAGTTGTGTGACTTTAGGCATGTTACTGCTTCACTCTTTGGGCCTCAGTTTTCTCATCTGCAAAATAAGGGACTAAGATTTTCAAAGGTGCATCCTGTTCTAACTTTCTATGGTTCCATGAGAGATCTCTGTGGAGTAGAAGAGACACAAAGAGGTACTGGTTACAATGTATGTGTATGTTTGGTGTGGCAGAGGAGTCCCTTATCACTGTATTACTTCAATTGCTTTCATTCTTGGTTGTATTTTCTGGGTATTGAACTCACTTGAAAAGTAATGTAAGGTTTCTGGGATGGAGATGTTACCTGGGCTTTCCATGTTTTCCTCACAAGAGAGCCACATGCCAGCATGGAAATAGCGAAAGGAGAAGCGGTCATCTCCTGTCTCCCAGCTGTAGTTTACCACCTCCTGGCTTGATGTATTGCCGCTACCCCCATCGAAGGGCACTAGCATGCCAATACACTTCGAGGCCGTACTCTTCCCACATAAGGGCTTGGGCACTTTCTGTGTGCCCACACACCAGTAGCTGCTAAGGAATGATGTGGTAGAAAGACAGAGGGCCAGCATGTTGAGGATGACTGCTACAATAGTATGGTGGTGGAGGGCCAGGAGCTTCAAGAAATCCATCTGCAACAGATAAGCATTTGCAAGGGAGGGAAAAGGAACACCTTTTTGGATCTGGCTACTTTCCCCTTCTATTCCTTGAATTCAAATCACATTTCTGTTTTTACTGGAAGCTAAGCCCTTGATAAAATCTTTTCTCAGTGCTTTTATGAAAGTTCTATTATACTCAATATATCCAAAGAGGAACTTGTTATTTTCCCTCCCAAGTCAATCACCTCCTCTCCTAACTTCTATGTTTCCATTGAGGGTACCACCATTTGTCCTGACACTAAATTTCCAACTTAGAGTTAAAGTTATCCTTGACTCCTTATGTTCATTTATTCTCTATTTCCAATCTATTGCCAAGTCTTATTGATTCTGCCTCTAAATATCTTTCACATCTGACCTTTTATCTAAACTCACAGAGCCAACTATCCTCTTTCATCTGGACAATGCAAGAACTTCTTAATTGGTCTCCCTGCATTGAATCTCTTCTCTCTTATACCATTTTCCGTACAGCCACATATGATATTCTTAAAGCATTCTTAAAGTGACTATATCACTTCCCTGCACAAGAAACCTGATTGGCTTTTTATTTCCTCTAGGATAAGATATGAACTTCTCTATTTAATGGTTAAAGCCATTCACAATATGAATATTGTGAAAAAGCCCTTCACAATTGATAAAGCCCTTCACAAATTCAATCTCTATTTCCAGGCTGATTACTCATTATTCTTTTTCACATTCTATATTCTAGTCAAATTGGACCCCTTGCTATTTCTTGTGTATGTCCTTCCATCTCTTATCCATGCCTCTGCATGGACTGTCCTCCATGTCCGGAATGCTCTCCCTCCCTTCTTCCACTTCTTAGAACCTCTAGAAACTCAGCTGAGATGCGACCTTCTCCAGGAGTATTTCCCTAATTCTCCCAGTTCTCAGAGCTCCTCCCTGTCCTGTAATTACTTTGCACAGTCTGAAACCATTTTTGGGGACATGAAGCTATTGGAATGGACAGGTCACCTGGGATTTCTGTGTTTTCATCACAGGAGAGTCATGTGCTTGGCACAGTCCTGGTACATAGTATGTGCTTAATAAATGTTTATTAACTGACTATTGACTGACTGAAATGCTGTCATGGAAATAGTGAAAAGAAAAGTGGTCATCCCCTATCTCACAGCTATAATTTATCATCTCCTGGGATTTAATATTTATTTATCTGTGTATATGTTATTCTCCACAAAGTCCTACTCCAGTGCTAATTGTGGTGTGGAAGTGAGTTCTTAAAGTATGGAGAGTTTCATCACCTGTAGACTAGTCATTTGGTGATGAATTATTTGGCCATGGCAAACCCTGATGCAATGAAAAATGAGAATACTTCTTGATTCTGCAGTGATGGGTGGCAAAATGTCTACTTTGATTAAATCAACTGCTTCTGCAGTAGTGGCTAGAAAAAGAAATTAGAGAGTGCTAAGTGTTTGGACCATCTATCAACTTTAACATGTTTACACATGAGGTCATTGACCAATGACCAATGAGTGAACATTCCAATGGAGGAATCAGATCAATCATTCAATTTAAGAAGTTATGTTTAAGTGGAAGGACGACTTGTCCAAGATTCTCCTTCAAGAAGCAAATAAATGAATTGGCAGGGTTGATTTTATACTGTCCCCAAAGGCAACAAGAAGCATCATTTTATGAGGCAGTTGGTAATCTTATATTGAAGTACTCAGGACAAGAATTTGCAATAAAAGACATCATGAAAATCGTTGCAGCTCATACTCTAAAAAGTATTGCAGAGGATGAAAATGTAGAGATGTAAATTGGAGATTGGCCAGTGAGGGCTCAGTCGTTGGCACATGTACAATATGCTCTGACTGCAGCCAATCCTAATGTAGTTGTGGTGCTCTCACTTCTAGAAATATGCTATAGAGAAGTCCTTTACCTCACTAAATCAGCATACATAGGTATTTTCTCTTTTATGGTACCTTGCTTTCTGATGATGAAAAGCTTTTTAGTTTCTACTGAACTGGAAATGAGTGTGCACATAAAATGCCAGAACAGAGGAATTCTATTTCTTTTCCCTGGTGGAATCAAGGCAAGAATTGCTGTGAACCTCTAGTTAGGAGGAGAGGTAGCAGGGATAAAATTGGCTGTGACCTACCACTGGCTGGCTGCCTCCTTCCCAACTACTTACTATGTGGTCATGAATGTTTATTAGCACTATTTCTTTTGTCTCTGTTGCAGTTATTCTTTCTTGATCTTAGATGAAAGACTGTTGGGGGAAGAATGGTTCAGGTGAACTTTGAAAGATCAGAAGAGCCACAAGCAGGGGCAGCTAGGTGGCAAAGTGGATAGAGCACTGGCCCTGGAGTCAGGAGGACCTGAGTTCAAATCCGGCATCAGACCAGACACTTTACACTTACTAGCTGTGTGACCCTGGGCAAGTCACTTAATCCCATTGCCTAGCAAAAAAACAAACAAACAAAAAGCCAAAAAAAAAAAAAAAACCAACCCAAAACCAAAAAAGAGCCACCAGAGGTTCAGCAACTGGTGTACATAGCAAAGTTTGTAGGTAGCTGAAGCATTGAGACCTCTGAGGAATTAGCCTTAAGAGCTGACTTGCCTGACTCGGTCTAATTATGAATTGGTCTAGCAACTGGGATACTGAGTCTTGTAAGCAAAGGAGTGACTCATCCATCAGCTATTCCACTCCCAGAAGTGAATTTGTTGGGGATTCCTCAGAGAGAAAAGGACTCTCTGGACTGTGAAGTATCCTTTCTTCCATCCCACCCCAGGGTATGTATACACGTGGGGAAGTTTTGTAGGAACAATTTTAAGTTTGAGTCCAGTCTTCGCAGGAGCCAAGTGGATGAGTAGAGGGGAGAGTATGCTCCTTGTTTGAAAGATTTTTGTATTTTGATCCTTGTTATACTTTATCAGTAAATAATCTTTTGTAAAATTGTTGGGGCAGCTAGGTGGCACAGTGGATAGGTCCTCAAGTCAGGAGGTCCTGAGTTCAAATCCAGCCTCAATCCAAACACTTGACACTTACTAGCTGTGTGACCCTGTGTGAGTCACTTAACCCCAATTGCCTAAAAATAAAAAAAAAAATTAAGCTAATTGTTGTTAACTGATTAATTGATACTGGGGATATGTCAACTGGTTGATTGCTATCTGGGGAAACATACCAAATGGGGGCTCATGAGCAGTGCTCTTGCATTAAACACTCAATTTCTCAGTATTATAACTAGGATCCTGAGGGTAGATGTTGCCAGTTGTACATTGGGGATCCAATCTGCTAGCATGGTTGGGAAAGTAAGCCTTAGAGACTGCACTATAGGGAAATTCTACAGACAAGACACTCCAAATTAAATACATACTTAGAAACTTGACAATGCCCATGCAAAGATGAGAATAGAAGAGGATGATAAGAAACATGTCAGGATGCATGGATCAAGAATAGGGAATGAGAGAGGGGGGCAGAGTCAAGATGGTGGAGTGAAAGTAGTGACTTGTTTGAGCTCTCCCCCAAACTCCTCCAAATACCTGTAAAAATGGCTCTAAACAAATTCTAGAGCAACAGAACCCACAAAAAGACAGGGTGAAATAAATTTCCAGACCAAGACAACCTGGATGGTTGATTGGAAAGGTCTGTTGTGCCGGGCTGGGAGAGGAGTACAGTTCAGCATGGGCGTGCAGCCAAAGACCAGGCCTTCGTGAACCTGGAACAGGCCTCAGGGGACTGAATCACAGGTGGTTGTGGGGGTTTCCAGACTTCTCAATCCACAAACACCAAAGACAACTTAGAAGGTCAGTGGGAAAGGTCTGTTGGACTGCAGTGAGAGAGAAGCTCGGTCCCAGTCCCAGTCCCAGTCCCAGTCCCAGTGCAGCCCCAGGGTAGTGGCTGTTTCCAGAGCTCTTGGCCCACAGATGGAGGGGGAATTGAATGGCTGATCAGAGGAGGATTGCAGGGATCTCTTTGCTGGTGCTGAGGCAGGATTCTCTTGCTTTACCCATGCTTGGATCTGAGTCATAGTTTTAAGTGACAGTCCTGGGGTGAGGAGGAGCGCTGGTGTGGTGGCTTATAGTGGCAGTGGAGAGGGAATTGTCCTCATAGTTCCAAGGCAAAAAAGAGGGTTTGTGGTCACTCATAGACCAGAGTACAGGCCAGGAAAGGAGTAAACACCTCGCCCTTGATTGTACCACCTTGGAAGAACTGAAAACTTACAGGTTCCTAGAAGTATCTCTGAAAACAGTTGCACAAAACCCCCAAAGCTTGGAACAGTACATTCTCCACACTGGAATCAGACCCCTACCTTAACAAAGAGTTTAAAACTCAAGTAGTTGGCTGGGATCATGAGCAAACAGCACAAAGAAAGTCAGACCACAGAATATTTCTTTGGTAATGAAGATCAAAACATACAACCAGAAGAAGACAACAAAGTCAAAGCTCCTACATCCGAAGCCTCCAAGAAAAATATGGCTCTGTCCCAGGCCATGGAAGAACTCAAAAAGGATTTTGAGATGCAAGTAAGAGAAGTAGAGGAAAAGCTGGGAAGAGAAATGAGAGTGATGCAAGAAAATCTTGAAAAAACAAGTCAACAGCTTGCTAATGGAGACCCCAAAAAATACTGAAGAAAATAACACCTATTTTAGCTATTTGGGGTTAGGCTATTTTCAAGCCTAACCCAAATGGCAAAAGAGGTCCAAAAAGCCAACGAGCAGAAGAATGACTGAAAAAGCAGAATTGGCCAGGTGGAAAAGGAAGTCCAAAAGCTCACTGAAGAAAATACTTCCTTAAAAATTAGAATGGAGCAATTGGAAGGTAGTGACTTTACGAGAAATAAAGAAATTATAAAACAAAACCAAAAGAATGAAAAAATAGAAGACCGTGTGAAATTGGAAAAACAGCTAACCTGGAAAATAGATCCAGGAGAGTTAATTTAAAAATTACTGGACTATCTGAAAGCTGTGATCAAAAAAAGAGCCTAGACATCATCTTTCAAATTACCAAGGAAAACTGC